TTGTTTTCGTTGGTAGTTCTGATAAAGTTCTCACAGAATAAATTAACATAAACACAGACCACCTGAAGTTATATGTCTCAGTCCATTACAATATACATCCTTATGACGTATTCCATTAGATTCTTTATTGATTGCCGTGTTTTATGTGGAAACCGGAAATGATCACAGCGCAGATTTCCGGCTGCAAGAAGGGAGGGGGAGGGACTTGTTAAGAATGGAAATTTCCCGGAAATGTTCGATTTCGCTTATCTGATTGGCCTAACTGTAGTTAGATACGCATCCACAGTCGCGAAGCGTGCAGTCAGAAATTATTTTTCCTTGAACGTCTATAAATGTATAACATGAAAAAGAGATTCTAATATGAATGTTGTAGACTAAAATGCTATCTGTAGTCTACTTCATACAGAGCAAATTTTTTCAAACGTTGTGCAAGGAAAGCATAAAGACGAGTTTTTCGTATTTTTAAACTGCTTCAATAGCAAATTCCACGTCAGTTACCATTATCAAAAGCGAAACACTTCGCGTTGCATAGTGCGCGAAATCTATTATAATCGCCCTGATGATGGAGGCAGCAAGGACCTCTGAAACTTTGGTAAACTTCTACCAGACTACACGGCGCAACAACCCAGAAGACAGCCATCTATTATCATCGCCCTGATGATGGAGGCAGAAAGGACCTCTGAAACTTCCGTAAACTTCTACCAGACTACACGGCGCGCTACAACTCAGTCTTTGAAGGCGTAGTAATTGTCGGGTGGCATATTAAAATCCTCGTCGGAAGATTCTCATATAACCCTGATAGATATCGCAGTGAAACAATGCATTCGTGCCAGTGCATATCGATAGATCGATATGCACTGGCGGCAACCAAGTCACTGTCATTGAAATTGTTGCCACGGCATTGAGACACAAACGAAATGTTAATTTAATGTTTAAAAAACTGTACGACTAAATAGCAGGATTTGTGACACGCATAATGAATTAGGCATATCTTTACATCATTGTATCATTTACTACCTTGGAATATACTTCATTCTTACGTTATTTCATATAGAATTATACTGAGCCGGGGTATCTCAGCCAGTATAGTGAATGGCTACGGACTGGTCGACCGGGGTCGAACCCAGATCGATTCTGAGGTCCACCCTGCCTCTTAACCAGTGGGTACAGGGATCCTTTCCCGGGGGTAAAGCGCGGCCGGGGCGTGACCTCCATCTAGTGCCGAGGTCAAGAATGAGTAAGAGCTATACCGCCTCTCCCCACAAGCGCCTACATGGCGTATAGTGGGACAGCTTTACTTTATTATATAATTATAACGTCAAATAAGACAGAAAACAAACATGAAGGACCTATTTCCAGGTATTACACCGAGAAAAACTGACTAAAATATAGGCAAACATCTGTAAGGTTAACCGCCAAGTTAAAGTTATACAGATTTTATAATTTCCTCTCCAAACCTACCCCATGTACTCCAGTCAAGACCACATTGGTTTCTAGACTCAGGTTAGTTACGAAAAATCTGTGCAGGTGGAGACACGATGTATTCACGAGAACGTGTGTTAATTCTGGAACATTATATTTCTCATCGAAATCGTTTTCTACTGTTCGTGAAGCATTTACTAATGCATTAATTGACGACTGGAGTATATTGCGCAGTGCCTCGAAGGGAAATTGTGGGCCATTGCTTTTGAGAAGACAACGTGAAACGGTACCAGAATCTTCTGACCCGATTAATTTCTGTGTTGGATGAAAGTGAAAGTGGTTGCTGATTTCAACATGATTGGGCGACACAGCGAACACGACTACTTTACTGCAACAAGCCGACAACCGTAAATCATTGTACGGCCCTACTGCAAATGGCGTTAGTGTCAATTCCATCTCACAAGTTTGTTCGTCCGTTATGTTGGTATTACCTACTGTAGGAAATTAAGATGTACTATTTTATGTTAGATCCCAGTGGTATAGCGTCCGTACAAAATTTCATTCAAATTCATCCAGGGGTTCTCGAGTTTAATAACGTGCACAGACATGATCAGCCCAAAACAGGCAAAATTAATTTCCTTCACATCGCGCAAAGAACGTATACAAATATACAATGCCGGAATAGATTGGATTTATCTGGCTCAGGATAAAGGTGTGTGGTAGGCTCTTGAAACTCGATAATAAGCCTTCGGAGTCCGTAAATGACAAGGATTTTTTGACTAGATGAGTGAGCTTCTCAGATAAATCTGTGTTCCAAGGTGTCAGAGCGCCATAGACAACACGTGGGGCCGAGATAAAATAATTCGTCAGATTTAGAGTGCACTGAACCTGTTTTTCTTTTCTTAAAGGAGCGGGCCGTTGCGCTTTTCTTGCGTTTTGCGGTGTCATTGTGACCTTGAACTACATTTTTTAAAAAATACCATCGCTGTTACCACGAAACCAGTTCAGTGCATGGGATAGGGATGTACAAATAACATTGTACCAGACGAGGTGGCACACAGTTCCTGTCTCTCACATATGATAACTCTTACGACCCGAAAGTCAATAAACAAAAATGAATGTGGCTTCAGGTTTAGAAAATATTCAGAAACCCTGGTTTAAATAATGTGCGACTTTACAGCGCGGGCAATCCTCCTATTTACCCCCAAAAAAAAAGTGTCTTACTACGCAATTTAGGCCTTCAAAATACGTCATAAAAGAAAAAATAAATAAAACATAGATAAATTTTCATCCGACTACGATATGTCTGCGACGTAATTTATAGCTTCTAAAATAAAAATATGTTTTGTTCAAAACATTTCCTTTATACTACATTTGTTTTCGAGATGACAAATATCTGATATTCAACTGGACTTTGAGTTTGTGATACGCTAAGTACTTTGTCTGTCAGCCGTGTGCTATATACACAAGATAAGGGTGATATGAGAACAGTTTAATTTTAAAAGGCCAAAATGCAAGAACAAAAAGATTTATTCCCACGGCGTCTTTTTATACATTTATTAAACATAAAGTTCTATTGTTGTAAGGCTGGTAGCATAACACTACACACCGTAAGAAAATACTGGATTATTATTACTTATTATGAAACTTAGGTTATAAAATAAAATGACTTGACATAGATCTTTTCTGTTATTTACTGCCATAACATAAAATGGTGACAATGCTTGGAAATACGAAATTGGACGCTTTATATATTACACGTCAACTCTATGGGGTCAGATACTCCATTATTGATAACAAAGAAAAGAACAGACCTCACATGAGATGTTACAGAGCTTTCAGTTTGCATATTACAATTGTAGTTTTGTGTATAGTTTGTGTAATTTCAGTCAGATTAATCAGTCGAAGCTTGATTCTAAAATAGTTAATTAGCGATCAGTTTTAAAAATTACATTTGAGAAAAAGACAATGTCCATTTAAGGTTCTTCTACTAGAATCTGAGGAATTAGATGTCCTTTTATATTACAGTTATGGAAGTAATAATTCGTAGAGAAGTAAAAGCCCAGAAAGAAATCGTTTAAAGGAGTGAGACATAATGTCAAGGAGAAAATTATAAGAAACACAAGACTAAAGGCAAAAATAAACTAGAGCAATATAAAAACAAATGCGAAGGAAACATTACAATAACTGGAAGTCGAGAGAAAAAGCTTTAAGATGAACAAAGACGACCGAAGACACGGGAAATGGACATGAGACTTTGAACTTGTGTTCAGTGTGAATGCGGGCTGAACTAGCGTACGATTATACATTCTTCTATGGAAATGAGAGGGATTATCGCTCATCATCACTTCGGGACAGACTTTGTTATACATAAAGAAATCACAGCAGCCAAGAGCGTAAGTTTCTTAGTGACAGAATTTCACATATACGAGGTATGTTCTGTAAGCAGACACACAAAGATACTGTGATTTTTACATTTATTACCACGGATATAACTACTTGCTCACTTGTACACTACCAGACATCGTAACATTATTTTTATACCCGATAATAATTATTCCTGTTGAGCACTTGTCCCAGCGGAAAGCAGTGCATTCAAATCCTTGGTAAAAGAATCCTAGTCAGGTGTCTGTAACTAGTCGTCATCACCACACCAACGTCATTCATAAACCGCTATTTTAAACTCTTACGTTTTAATTTTCTATAATCACTTAAACCACTAGCGTCACTTAATACAGAGTCATAAAGTGACTTGTGGTAATACATCTTCTAAAATATACGAGTTTGGTGAAACAACATCAATGTTGCTACATGAAGCAATAACAACTTTTTGACTCAATTAAGATTCGATCCCATGACGACCTGAGAACCATTCCAATTCCCTGCCGCAAAGATAAATCGATTTTTTATTATATCGTTATATATTACTCACAGAGTACATTAGGAATACATTAATTACAAAGTTATAGCTGAAATTAAATTTAAGTAAGATAGACGTATTATTTTTTTGAATATATTTCTTTCGAATTTAAACATTAACAGACACATAAACACATATCGTAGATTATGCACTTCAGTTATTGAGTCAAGGTCATCAATTTGAAACAATGTTGCTCTTGTCTCAACGGATTTCGATAAACAAATGAATCAGTAGATAAGAAATAAAACATTTGAAATACGTTCGTACATTTCAGTGATAATACTGGAAATTAGTAAACTTGATTGCAGTTCACTTCGGTATCTTTTGTGAACAAGAACATATGAAGGTAAGAGTTAAATTTTATACTGAAAACGTAGTTTATGTTCCTAAATTGCCTCTGATCTATTACGCTCATGTGGGCAATAATTATGGTAACTCATGCGTAATGTAAGCGTGTGTATGAATGCTTTTTGTCAACTGACAACACTCAGAATACAAGGGAGCAAATAAAGCGTGCGCAAAATGTTGCGATAAAAATTAAACCTTTTCAATCTTGTTCAAAAACGAGACAATACATTTATGAACGAAGATTGCTGTCTTCTGGGATGCTGAGTCGTGTAGTCTAGCATAACTATGCCGACGTTTCAGAGGTACTTACTGTCTCCATCTCTGCTACAGTTTTCAGGTCCCACAACTGCTACTGTCTGGTTGTGTACAAACTTCTTTGTAGCTTACACATCACACACGGCACACCTAAACTATATATTTTTAGACAGTCTAAGATGACGCCACCCTCGACCTCCATCTGGTCTGCCCATGACCTTACAAGGACATTAGATCAGGTTTTTCTGGCAACGGCAGAGTCCGGTTGGACAGGTCAAACAATTTCCTAAAATTGTCCTCGTTTATAGAGCCCATTTATAACTCATTCCTTTGCTTATGAAGTTTGACCTTCGCTAGGACATAAGCAAGCAGCGAGAGTCCAGATCGGACATGCGCAATCTGTCATAGGACGGATGTAATGCTTGTGGAGTAGCACAAGGGGCCAAACACGCCCAATATTATTCCATTGGAGTACTTGGGCCACGGACATCAATAAGGCTGTGAACGGCTTGAGAACTTCACACACGTATGCAGAAATATATGTATGTAAATTGAATAAGTACGCATACATTTGATATCAAGATTCAAGCAGCCAAACCTTATCGCTCTTTATAAAATATTTGGACTGTACCAGGACTACAAATACGTAGAACCCTGGTGGATACTGATGGTACTGTGCGCATGTTCTTTAGCGCATGCCATCACAATCGGCTAAAATTAGTCAATGCTACGCGAAGAACCGTGAATACTCGTGACTTACTGTCAGAACAATATAGATCTACTAAATATGAACCAAAACACTACAAACTAAGATTGGAGATGTGTGAGGACTCCTCGAATAACGAAAATACATATACAGGAACGAACATATTTTAATAAATCTAATTCATACGTGCAAAATTTTATTAGCCTAGATATTTTCATTTGTATGCCGAATTTGATGGAAATGCTGCACAATACTTTCTTTTTAGGTGAACCACAAACTTTCTTGAAGTCTGAAAACAGTTCAAGTCCCATCTTACTCCCATTTTGTCTCTAGTATTCGAAAAATTCTGAACTTCCGGTCAGTAGTCGATCGAATACGTCAAAATTCACGTCGATTATCCCCAACGATTTTATATACTTATGGCATTAAGCTTGACAGAAGAATTTTGAATAAAATTTTATGTATGGTTGACAATTGTTATATTCCTTGATATTTACTACAGTGAATGTTATTTTCCTTCTTAAAAACAGTCACCGGTACAATAATACATTACTTCCCACTGTAATGGTAATTCTTCCATATTCCAAATGAAATTTTCAGTTGTGTAACTTGGAATGTAATGTATTACCTGCAACTTCCATAACATTCCGTTGGGTACTGATCAGTACCTGCTGATTTATATGCAAATCCCCTGCTACATTTCTCATTTCACTGTTAATTATATTTTAACTTTCCTATGTTTGCATCCGCTGTCCAAACAACGCGACCCCCTCAGAAAGTTTCATGATATATTTAATTAATTAAACGCACATTTTGGCATTATCTCAAAATAAAATGTAACATCTTAGAATAAAAAAACCTGTATAGGCGAATAAATTAATTTGGAAAGAATTTATTTATTGGCTATTGAATGTACATGCAGATAATGTTATTGAGGAGACTGAAATACATTCAGCTGATCCATTAGTACCCCAGCCTCGTATTTGGGACGTCCCGGATTCAAATCTCAACAGGGCTATCCAGAGTGAGGGTTTTCATGGATTTTCTCGGTCCATTCAGGAAAATAACGAAACAACACCTTAAATTAGACCACGATTGTTTCTTTATATAGCTTTTCCAATTCACCATAATGTCACTCGATGTCTGAGCTACTGACAGTGTTTTTAGATAAACCATAAATAACTCAAATTATATCTCTCGTCCCGAGTGAAGGAAACTGACTTAATGTGTCAGAGAACAGAACACTGAGGACAGTTTTTGGACCAACTGGTGGGAGAATCGAGAAAAATGTTCAATGAGGAGCTTCGTAATTTGAACTGTTTATGCACTTGATGACGGTGAGATGGCTTGTGCATACGTGGAAGAGATAAAAGGTATACAAGATGTTAGCCTAAAGACCTGGAGGGAAGAGACCTCATGGGAGATCTTGACATAGATGGAGTACAATATTAAAACTGATCTTAAAGGAATAGAGTGTGAGGACATGCATTGGATTTATCTGGCTGGAGTTGAAGACAAGTAGCGGGATGTTGTGAAGGTGGTAATGAATCTTCAGGCTATAAAAGCCGAGAAGTTTATTGACCAAAAGTCTACTAGCTTCTCAAGAAAGACTAATTCTTGTATTTATAGTTATTTTGTAATTAGTTTTATGGCAAATTAGACAAATGATTGTACCCTGTAGATGCGAGGAAATCAGTACTCATCCGTTGTCAAGATAAATTGTTTACGTTACTCCTCTCTTTGTAAAGAATGGAAAAGTGACAAAATAATGTCGATAACAGGAAGAAAATGTGGCAGCAAGGATCCCCGATTATCCTTAGTCTAATTATATTATTGTGATATGAAGACTGACAAATTCACTGATCACACCCATTGCCAATTTTCGATTTCTGCCGTAGACCACGTTGACAAAGCACCGATGAGGAACGATCCTACGATGTCAAGGATAAAACAGTTGACCTTGGAAGAACAGGAAACGTACGAAGAAAAGTACGAGAGAGAGAGAGAACAAAATGTAAATAAACAAAAGAAAATTTTACCCGTCATAAATGACGTTTTACAGCTGCTCGATTACACGCAAGTTATTATTTAATATTTATTTCAATAGTGCCAGAGATAATGGGCCATCAGATAAACTGATTACGTAAGACTGCTCTCGAAACTTGGCACTGGATTCTAGGAATAGTAGTCACAGCGAGTTGAGAGCTGGCAGTGACGACGAAATCAAACATGGACTCAGACACTTGCTCGTGTTGTGGTGATTGTGAATTCTGTGTGGATCAAGAGGAATCTGATGAAGATGGCCCGCGAACTCTACTCAACACGACCTCAAGTCTGCGGCCTGCGAGCCCTGCGTAATACTAATGTATTTCAAGTCATTTGTGCATGGTTCTGTGTTAACACGATTAATGTCGGCGTTGCTGAATGACTGTGTGTGCTGAGGGAATACGTAATTGGTTTTAGTGTTTCATACGCAGTTTTTATTCTTAGGAATAGCTCTTCTTTTGGCTCTGTGGTGTCCCGTAGTGTGTTTGAAAATTAAGGCGTGTCGCGGGTTAAACAAGTTTGCAGAACACTGCTCTAGAAAATTTATTTGCCGATTATCATACTTCCTCCTTCTCTTCCCACTAAATCCTTAGTTCGAGTCCGTTTATCATTTATCTTCAAAAACATTTTGGTTATTTTCCATATAGGTCTTAACAATCGACAAGCGCTGGTTGGTTGGTGATAATTTTTAAATAATTATTTGCATTACATTAAATCGTATCATATCCTTTAATTAATCAAAGATAAGAAACGATTTTAATTTTCAGACAAGCTTTTTCGCTAAAAATATGGTTTAGAAAGAATTATTTGATTTAAAAATTACCAAAAATATTATTTCCTTTCACTCTGTACAAGGTCCGTGAACTGTCACCAAATTTTAGAATTTAGAATTTTGTACGTCATATTGAAAAGCCTTGCCAAAATTCAAATGCCTGAAGATGACCAACACTGGTCGAAACATGTCGTTCGAACTGAGGATGCCAGTACTGCATCAAGAGTGATTTCAGTAATAAAAGTTTGTGTTTTGGTGGTGTAACGTCGTGTTTTGTTTTATTGTTGTGTATTTAGCGGAATTTAAATCCCTTGTTTCTTAGGCTAGTATTTACGATTTATTAGGAAGAAAGATGGCTGAACCGTGTCTAGTGAAAGTGCTGAATTCTTGCGTTACGGCGCCAGATACTTAATAACTGACCACAAGTACGTGCGTCTGTATCGGGCTTAAGCTACAATTAAGTCTCTCCAGTGAGACCCACACATTTATCATTCAGTTGTAAATCAAATGTTCAGGAAGGGCAAAACCAAACCTCATCATGGACCCTATCTGAAAAGGGATCAACCAAACCCACATCCTAGAATCTGTAGGGTCTAATTAAAAAATATTTAGCCTTCTAGTGGACACTAATTAATAATATCTTTGTGACCATTTTTCACCCCTCTCATGCGTGCTACATGTTCTTCCCATGTCATATTATTCCAGCACTCAAAAATTAAATTATTTGCCGATATTTACGTAACATAAAACGGACTATCTTGTATTTATGCCAGTGTTTGAGAGGGACAGAAGAATGTTTACAAGCGTAAGTGCTTTGCTCCGCGACCGAAAATAGACCGTACGTCGACCCGTTCACACGCGTCGAGAAACTGTTAAAACACCAGTTACGAGAGCCCAGTAGACTTCAGTATTGAATGTGATTTTATTGGTTTCACAGCCCCCCGCCCATTTTGAAGCACATTTACACTTTCAGGCCACTTTAGAGCTTGGCAAATTAAGTTTCTTAACAGATCCGCGATATGTTTTAGTAACATCGTTCTTGTGCCTGTTATTTTCCTTCAATAGCAGAAAGACGTAAACAACTATAGACCCTGACGCGCCTCTAAACCCACAAACCGAATTAAACCTTCAAGAATCACAGACTCTCCGTCAGCCCGGAGTAATTCACAAGATGGACGAAAGTGGTGAGCGCATGACCCTGTATTTGAATCTAACATCCTCATGGTTAGGGGTTTAAACGAAAATAAATTTTAAAATTTTACCAAGCCTGACGACCATTTGGCCCGTCCCAGCCCGAACCCAACGTTTATCTTAAAACATATTACCCGCAACCAACCTAAGCCCGAATTCCTTTTATTCCAGCCCGAATGAAGCCCGATCTATAATCTACCCCGACTTATTTATATTTTTATTTAGTGTTCTGTCTGACGACAGGTCCATTATAATAATGTTTATTTAATTACATAAATGTCAGTAAGTCTTTAATGAAGTATTTACTACGCTTTAAGAACATCTGAGATTATTTTGACGTTAAGGAACTGCACAAAGATATCGGAAGCGAAGTTCGTGAGATGTTGCCTCAAAATAGTTCTGGGTGGGGGCGTCTACGAAAATCGCCGAGAAAATCAAATCAGTGGGATTTGTTTCCGCAACCAAACTGTGTCAAGAGAATAAGATACGTGTAATTATAAATGAAATTTTCTTTGAAAAGAAAATGCATTTATAATGGAGAGGTCCGTCTACATGTTTAATTTCCTAAACTCCACGAATTTAGTTATTCGGTTTTGGTGGATGCACACCAAAGTTATAAGACGAATGTAATTGTTATTACTGTCCGTTAATAAAATCCCTCCTTTGACGAAGCTGAAATGGGACTTTACATTCTTCTCAGTGATGTTAAAGTATTCTGGCACATTGACCATTGGACTGGAATTAAATTATTAGAGTCTACAATATTCAATTATTCCTTTTGTTTCGTTCCGTTATTTAACGACAGTGTGATAAATTTAAAAGTTATAGAATGCCGAATGAAAAACATGGAAGAATCTTAAGTTGACTATAAACAATGAATTGAGGAGGATGACAAAGAAAGCCAACGATACTCAATCATGCCAGATAATGTCCCAGATGAACAGAATAAAATCGCGAAATTTAAATAATTATTGATATCCATAATTTAAATTTTATTGAAATAACGACGAAAATAAATGTGTTTGCAGTGTATGTACTTTCATACTTCGCATGAAACATATTAATGGTGTTACACTTTAGCAATACAAAATTTACTTAAATGAATTGAAAGTATTTCAGAAAGATTTTACGCAAAAAATCTAAATCGGCGAGATTAAACATTTAATGACACGAAAAAGAAAGATGCTTGATTGTCCAACTACAAGATTTGCTGAAACAATAAACATTAATGACAGTGAGGTACAGAAACACATACAAAAACAGGCACACCGCTTTCTCGTCTTGCTTAGTTTGACTTTAAATTATTGTCCGATATGTCGACGGTCATGAATAACATTCAATGCAGCTGAGTTAACATTAAGTCATTAACTAATCCATGCATGTTACTTCCTCAGTGATTGGCTTCTTAAAAAACCGATGACGTATCACGAACTGTCACTGACGAGAAAGCGTACTGAAATCAGAGCCAGTCTGTTGGAACATATAAAACGTCTGACGTAACAACTTTCTTCTTCGAATGAAAGTGGCTGGACAACTCTTCCGCCCGTTACAATTAATTTTGTAAATCACGCAGTGCTACTGGACAGCATCGCACGTCTTTTGTGACAAAAACTGTGAAACGCGGTGTGAATAAACCCCGAGAAACTCGTAAAGCTCGTCTAAACAAAAAAGTTAATAATTCAGCCCGTACCGCAAAGAAAACACATTTCTTCATCGGGTTGTTATTAGTGTTGAAACAGTTGGTACATTCTGTTGCCATTGGGCTTTGAACCCCGTAGATCTGAAAAATATGTGCACAAAAGCGAAATTGTAAAACTAAAGTGTAATCCAAATATATATAATATTATAATGCGGAATATTAACCTTGGGTGTATTCATCTTTTGGGGACATTATGAATATTGCGTGCATTTGAACAGAAGGAAAATTGACGTACTTTCAAGGCCGTGTTATAGTTAAAACCCTGTCCTTCACAGTGGAGGTTCAGAATCGTCCTCAGGTGACTAACAGCCACTGAAATAGGTTATTCTCCGGGTTCATCGGCTTTCCCTGTATCATTCAACCTCTGCTCCATATTCACCCTTGTATCATCTGACGGAAGTCCAAATTCCTCAGAGACAATATCACACTATCGCAAAAATAACGACTTAAATACTTAGACCATAAGTAGGATTAAAGGTTCTCACGGCGACGAGTACAGACATGGCTGTCTTCCGCCTTGCAGCGCCGTGTAGTCTGGTACATGTTTACCGACGTTTCAGAGGTCCTTACTGCCTCAATCATTCCCGTGACAGTGGAGACAGCAAGGAACTTTGAAACGTCGGTAAACTTCTATTCACACGCAACTGTTCACTGATGCATTATTAGTTGAAATTTATTCAAATTGGTAAGACCGATAAGTCCAGACTACATAGGACCTACGAAACAGATAAATAATCAGCTTTAAGATTTTGTTGTTCATTTTGTTGCACTCACTAAATGAAACTAAACGTAGGAACCATGTACATTTTTTCACATGTGCTTCAGAATCTTACTTAATAAAGTAAAAATAAAAGTAAAGTTTGTCCCACTATACGCCATGTAGGCGTTTGGGGTGAGTGGAGGTATAGCCCCTCTCTTCCTTGACCTCGGCACTAGATGGGGGTGAGTGGTCAGCATCACGCCCCGGCCGTGATTTACACCCGGGAAATGACCCCGGTACCCATTGTAGAGGAGGCTGGGTGGGCCCCAGAGCCGGTCTGGATGCGGAGGCTAGAGGAAAAATCCTCTGCCCCCGTCGGGGATCGAACCCCGGTCGTCCAGCCCGTAGCTAGTCACTATACTGACTGAGCTATCCCGGCTCATGTCTTACTTAATACAATACTAAATTAACAGAAAAAATAACCTTATTTTAACGTAGTCTTAATAAATATCAGGGAATACTTTATCTTTAATGAACATTTACCTTTCTAACAACAATCGATCTCTTATTTAATTAATTTCGGCTTATATTTTAAAATATGCTTTGAATTTCAGTTTTCGTTGATATTCTTTGCTGTTCTATTAACTGCATTTTTAAATTATTTTTTAAAGACACGCACTTGTTATCCGTGGCATTGTCTTGCCGCCTGGTGTCTAAAAACGTAAATATTAAAATAGAGCTATAATTTTATCCCTTGTTTTGTATGGGTATAAAATCTAGCGTCTCACATTAACGACAGAACACAGATTGAGATTTTTTTAGGACAGGACGCTATGGAGAATGTTTTAACCTAAAACGGGCGAAATAACAGGGTACTGGAGAAAATTTCTCAATAATCTTGGAAGACCAAGTCGTAGATAGGATATACTAAAATGGTTCTTGACGAAATTAGGTGGGACTGCATGGATTGGATTCATACGGATCATAAAAATAAAACTTCTGATTCCATAAAAGGCTTAGAATTTACTGACTAGCTGGGCTACTGCCAGCTTCCAAAAGACTCCGCTCTGCTGAGCTGGTTTATTTAGGTATTGGAAGTTTATAGTATCAACGCATTTTCCTTGGTCCCTCAGATCAAATCCATTAATTCACTGTAAAGACATAGGAGAACCACGGTGGTCTAGCGGTTAGAACGCTGGTCTTGTAATCCTGGGGTCTCGGGTTCGATTCCCGGCGGTGCCCGAATGTATAACTTGTGTTGGGCAAGGCCGTGGTCTAGGCAACACGGATTTTTCCTCCGTGGCATCCCAACAATTACTCCATTCACACACAGAAGAAGGCAATGGCAAACCACTTCTGGATCATCTGCCAAGAACGTATATGAACAGGTCCCAGTCCGGGAAAAGGATGGAAGGATCCTGTTCATATGGACCTGTCGTCAGACAGAACACTAAATAATAATAATAATAAAGACATAGGTTGCAAAACTGCAAAGATATTCATCCTTCAATACTTCAAAATTCATTGACTATAAGCCTGTGAACCGGTAGTGGGTGTTGCAGGGTTAGCACGTGTCCACCTTAATACATTCAGCGCATGCGCTACTTCCAGTGAACTTCCGCAGTCTGGACCGAAATAACTGTGATTCGTCACGGAAGTTTCTCGATGTCAGAGCATGACATTCCGGAATTTTCTTCTTCAGTTCAGTGCTTGTGAGAACTACACGACACTGCGTCTAACGCTTGAATAACGCCACGCGTTGCACAACAGAATAAAAGTTCTCTTTTCGCGTAATACAAACGGAAGTGCGGCTTATGACAGTCCAAAAATACGTCGTACACCTGCATCAAGAATCTTATATACGTATTTTCTTCACAACCCGAATTAACTCGATGTAATAGTAATAGGACGGAAGGAAAAGTGTCCTTAATTAACTCGAATTCACCCCAGATAACTCGGGATAATAATGTTCGAGCTTGTGACCAGAATAATGCATTCCCCTACCCAGCAGGAAAAAAAATTAAAATTAAAAGAAAATGTTATCTTACTCAACGCATGCCTGTCTTTGCGGTTAGTAGGTCCCAGGTTTGGATCTCAACCTAACGGTGACTTTCTTGACTCCATTACCACTTCCTTACACATCCTTTGCAGTCCATTCTTCTGGATTGTAGCACCCTGTGTTCCGGTGGAAGTTTACCAACGTTTCAGAGATCCACCATAAACTTCTACTTCTAAACAATACGACGCTGCAACCCAGAAGTCACCATTCTCCGTACTCACTGCCACGAGAATCTAAAATCCTATCACATTTATGCTTATTTTGTCAGTCAACGTCATATCATCCATAAACTTCCCTAGAAGGGTGACGGGCCCCTCCTAAAGACTTCTAGGCGCATTATAAATAAATAACATAACCTGTAAGCTTAATATTACAGGGACCAAGCTACATATATCTAAAACTGCACTCCTCTGTTCTCATATGACAGTGAAATTAATACGCTTTATGTTAGAATTTTACTTCTCGGTTGCTTAAAGTGTCCATGTATATCTTACATCTTAATGTCGATGTGCGGGGCCCCTTGAAGCCCGGGGCTGCCCTGATGTCATCTACGGATTCGCTAAAGCATGAACCAGGAAGTCACATATTTCGAGTTACATTTTGAGTATAAAAGCGTTCAGCTAATCGTTTTAATTTACGGTATAACAACATCCGCTGCTGCGTGGAGGCTGGTCCACCTGTTGTGTACGCTAATCTACTTACACTCATTGATGAGGTATACACCGTTACGTTTGTTTGTAATCACAGTAAACGTTACGGATATGATGTCAAGGTCTGTGGTACAAAACTACATTCCCTACCTACCAGTTTTATCTTTCGACAGTCAGTCTAAAATTTACCACGAACACCTCCTTTCACAATCTTAAAACCTCGCAAAATCTAAATACGCCCAACACATCCTCGGCCCCATGGAAGATATCATGGACGTGTTAAGAATAGCCTCGAAAGGTAAAATGCTTGACATTTTAGAAAAAATCCATATATATAAAAGTAGCAAAAACCAAAACAGAACGTCCATGACTTCAATGTGTTATTTGCCCTAGTAATAAACAGAACAAAAGTAAATTTCATATGGAATAGTTGGCGACCTTGATTTCAGAGTTAATATATATATATATACACACCCCCTACACCAGCGGTTCTCAATCTATGGTACGCATACCACTGGTGATACGCGAGAAAAATGTAGAGTGGTACGCGAACAAAGTAAGAAAATCAAAAGTTAATGTTAACATAAATAAGTTTTCCCTGAACGCATTTGGTACATGCAAAGAGAACAGTCCAATTCCTGGCGGGAATCGAACTGCGGCCGTCTGTCTCCTGTTTAGTCATTCCACTAACCGACTAATCCCAGTTGATCCTGACATGCTCACTGTCCAACTTGGATACAGTGTCAGCTATACCGGATGCAAGCAAATTAAGGTTTAGACTGCCGCAGACTTTCCTACTAACGAGTTGAGTCAGAGTTGGTCCGCTCGTTGTGATCAGGACCAATCTTGCAATGAACAAGCATGTAGTTGTGGCACGTAAAAGTAATGATTTGTCATGCAGGATGTTACATATGAAGTAATTTTCAGCCTGCGCGTCAACTCAATACGTATCTTGCACCGGCAGAGGTAAGTTTCGATCTATGAGAGATTTGAGGTTTTCGCTGCAGTGATAATGTTGACATTGTTCTGGATTTTGGCGCCGTGTAGACTCGTCGGTAGATATTTGAGTCCTGAAGATGAGGGTGTTTCTCCGAAACAATGGCAACTAATGACGAGTGTACGGTGCCAAAACCCAGAAGAAAAATATCAACAATTTTTAGTGTAATTTTTTCCATATAAAACAGCCCTGCAGGGCGTAGAATGTTCTCTGTATCTATCCATTCTTCAAGGGTTTGTGCCAATTGTCAATTCATAAAAAATAAAAATGTTCCAAATTGACCATAATTTTATTGCATGATCGTCTGTTCACTAGATAAATCTAAACTGAATTGTATTATAAGATTTCAGATTTGTATTATTTAAAATTTGCACGAGAAAATATTATTTGTAAAGCTACAAATGAAGGTTGAGTGCATAAGGTAGCCTAAAAAGTATGGTTCTATGAATACTGTCTTTAAAATTAACAGGTTAAGATCTCTCTCTTCAGTATACATATAGTTTCATTGCATATATTAAACAAAAGTAACACAGAAACGAAGTCAAGGCCCTCTGTTTGAAACTATGCTTTCATCTGAACAGTCGGTCGCCAAAAAACAAATGAATCAGTGAAGAATAAATTAAACTACGTTTAAATCTTATGTTCTTGTATTAATAGCGAATAATGAGAGTGGAATACATAAACTGGATTGTAATTTACTCCATTTTCTTTTGTAAATAACAAGATAATAGAAGAAGTTCATGAAGAAATCTTATCTCACGCTGAAACCGTATCTATTTTCTGTTGTCTGCGACCTAGCGCTGCGTTACTTACGGTAATAATTGCGTAGGCCTGTGGGAGGGCAACCTAAAATGACATAATCGTATAAATATAAATCGGTTTAACATAACAGTATCGACCTCAGACCGTGTGACTGCATGCTTTCTGTAATATTTGGAGTATGAAGAAGTATTTGTTATACACAAAAATAATCTTCCTATGGGCATTAAAAACTATGTGTCAAAATGTCTACAGTTCGTTGATTTAGCCCAAGGCCCTGGGTAAAATGACACACTTAAATTTTTATCATGAACTACTATTACAGAACATGTAATTTTATCGCGATTAACAACGCATTAGGCAGAGATGAGCTAAATAGAGCAATGTGGGCAAACACAGTAAAAAGCAGCTCCTTCGTATTAATAACAACGTAAGAACATTAAAAATTCTAGTTCAAAAAGTACAGCAAAACTTGATTTTCCCACAATAAAGTTTCAAAGCACTAAATCGATCATTATCAAGTAGACAAACTTACCGATAGGCTGCGCAGGTGTGTGGACACAAGTCGCAAACGAACCTGGTGCCATTTAACCCACCATTGGCTGCCCTGGTTGTCCAAAAACATTGACACATTGATAGATGGAGTTATTATAAATTATGACTTGCTTTACAAGTCTTCACTAGATAGCTGTTTAAATAAACTTATCATAAATCACAAGGCTTCCATGCTGATAGAATTTAGCTGTAAAACCGTAAGACAAACACAAAAAAACATAGATTTGCCCAAAAAGCTTCAAAAGCGCGTTGTCAACATGCCATCTTTCACTGAAATTCAGTACCAATATGACAAACCTAAAAGCGCAACATTTCAAAATATTTCAAGGAATAGATGTCATTTTAGCCAACTATGCCACTTTATGCTAGACTCCCCTTTTTATAATTTTCTATTTTCCCTTTCAGATGAGCATTTAGAATGAACAATACGCACGTGGTAACTGTATTTCGGTAAAGATTACACCTTCCCAATTAAATTTATCAAAGCAAAGACTGCAAGTTATCCACCGTCGTAATCTATAGGTTACTATTTCATATGTAAACGCACAGTGGATTAGATCAAACATAAAAACTTAAAATGATCACTCTTCACTTAATATTATTAGGACAATTAAATCAGCGGTAATGGATTGAACGAGGCATGTAGCACGCACAGGCAAGACGATAAATGGGTACAATATTGTGACAAAAAGGGAAAAGACAGCTTGTTGGACCTGGGTATAGATGGTAGGATAATATTAAAACAGATATTAAAAAAAACAGTGCATGATTGTGTGCACTGGATTATCGTTACTGGCCCTGCTAAAATAAAACACACATTTTAGCTTGGCTATTGCCTCTAGATTTTAAATTAATTAATGCTGACTTCCGATGCTTTCTTATAAATAGTATAAAAAATGTGGAGCACATGGGCAATGATCTGTCCCACTGTATGCCATGTAGTTGCTCTGGGAGAGGAGGTATAGCTCCTACTCTTTCATAACCTCAGCACTAGATGTGGGTGAGTGGTCAGTGTCATGTCCTACCTGCACTTTACCCCCAGTAAGGGACCCCAGTGCCCACAGGACAATGATGGAGGCAGCAAAGACATCTGAGAAACAATAGTAATCTTCTACAAGACTATGCTACAACCCACATGACAGCAATCTTCATACTCATTGCCATGAGAACCTGAAATCCTATTAAAAAGGCTGACATTTATAAATCCAAATTCTGTAATACCTTATCTGCCATGTACTATATGTGTCTGCTTTCTGCTCACCTCCATGGAACATTTATTCATTAACTTGCACATTTTACTGTGTGTCAAGACACAAGTTCTTCAGTGGACAAAGAACATTTGATCAAGCTTAAGCAGTACTTAAAATTGCCTAGAGGTTTGTTATCCTGACTGAAGTTTTTTTTATGGTTTTAATCATCTCATGTAGGTACACGCAGGTCCTTACTGATACTGTCTTCTTCCTTCCCAATTTACAACTCTCATTTGACTTAAATTTAACAATGTAACCTTTGCAGATAAAAAAGTGTAATAAATAAACTAACAAACATATATAAAGTGAATGTTCAATGCCTTCAAATTTATGTTATGCAGTCCTGCACAACAATTATGTCCCCTTACCTGAAAACTTACTAAAGCAGATGTTCTTTCTTCATTTTTTCTTTCCTTTTATTTACTTCATACTATCTTATTTCACACTTTTATTTCTGAATGTGACTGTAATCCATTACAGCATTTTTACAAAGGCTATACTCAATTAAACCAGAATGCACAGCATACATTGTGGTAGAATTATATTTTCATATCAAGTGCTTGAAAGAATATCATCACAGCAGACTTTTAATTGGTTGTGCAGGACTGAATCACAAAAAAATGTGATAGCACTGAACATTCACTCTGTATGAGCAAACAAACTTACAGTAAATCTATTCCACGTCACTTATTTATACTTAACAGTAACCAGAATTTGCTAAATTGTGTTGTTTTGTTCTAGGATGGCGATGAAGAAATGGTTCCGTTACCTGCAACCTGTGCAGCTACACATAATGCTTGGGCTCACCATATTATTTTTTCTTGTTCAACTCGTAATGAGTCATATGACTCATGCTCTCACTTTACTTGTTGACTCTTACAACATGCTCTGCAATCTCTTTTCTCTAGTTGGCTGCATTATAACAATAAAGGTAAAGCACAATATCAATTATCAAGCAATAGGAAATCAGTGTCACTTACATGGTAATATGAGTTGTGCACAAAGGCGCATTCAGGTGAAAGAAAGCAACAACCATGTCTAGAAGTTAAGTCGTCTCAGTAAATCTCTAAAAACAGTAAACATAAAATCAATAAGATCTTCTCGGGCAATCAGCTGCGTCAAATGGTTAAACAATAAAACCGACGTTTCAGGGACCATCTCTGTCCCCATCATCAGGGTTCAGAACGATCCCTGAAACGTCTGTTCTATTGTTTAACCATTTGACGTGGCTGATCGCTCAAGAAGATTTTATTGAGTTACGTCGCCGTGAAAGCTACAAATCATATAATAAACATAAAAGTGAATTTGTCCCTCAAGTTTAACCAAGCACCATGTCATGCAAACATATGGTGCAAATGCATTTATTTGATGGTATAATCTTATGGAAGTGAAACAGCTTCTAAATGTTATAATATATTTTGGCTAGTGTATGTGGCTCTTGAGTTGCTACATTATGAAAAAGCACTGGCTAAATTCTAGTATGGATCCTTCAGATTTGGGGCATAAATTTGCATAAAATTTAAAAATGGTGAATGGAATCATTTGTTATTTCTTGTACAACTGACTATTCTGAAAGTATAAATTTTAAGTAATGTAATAAATATACCTTGTACCTTGTAGAATAAAAATAGGAGACATTTCTCTCAAAGTTCTGAATAAATTAAATTTAAAAATACAGCAGGTTACACACCCTCCTGAGGACACAACCTGGAGACATTTTACTAAGCTCAATTCTTGAAGCACCAATAAAAACAGTGTTCTGAAGCACTGGCAAACATCTGAACAGTTTATAACGGGAATTATCCCTACAGTAAACATTTCCAGGGACATAGGATTTGATGTTTTCACAGCGGTGAGTCTGAAGATTTATGTCTTCTGAGTTGGTGCACCAGAGCAACAACCCAGAAGACATAAATCTTCATTTCCAGGGACCTTAAAGAAAGAATTTGATGGACTGAAATACACCTCAGACATGATTATTATTTGCTGCAAAACAGGTCATTTGCTTTTCTCTTGTGATGCTCAATGGCCTGTTGCATGTGTACAGTATGGAAGTGCAAATGTGGAAAGACAAGGGAATCAAAGCAACAAGGAGTCACCGAGTACCAGTGCACCGTCCAACAGCAAGATTCCTCCTTCTTCCTCCTGCCATATGCATACTGAAACAGCACGGGTAAGCTTTCTTCAGTCTGTACATTATTCCAGGTTTGTCCTCTAGTATAAACTCTCAACACATTGAGTGATACAGGGGCAAGTAAAGTTCTTGGCTTTTAGGTTAAGAAGATGAAAGAACCTGGTGGAGATTTCTTGAAATTGAACAGTTTCTTCCAATCCTTTGCATGCTGTTAACAAAATGAGAGGAACTAACTGCAGAAATGGCTAACACATATAACATTTTTAACTAGACTGTTTCCTTCCTTTTAAAAGGTTCCATTTTTATCTGTTCTTCACACTAGTGAGAGTAAAGAATAACTTTTGGGATTGTTAATGTCTATCTGTCACACTTTTCCTATGGGTATAGTGAGCTGCATGACTTGGGGTGGGGGTTGATGTGCAAGAATGAAAAACCTTGGTTTCCACTGCCTATGCATCAATGGGAAGAGTGATCACTGTTAGAATACACTGTTCGGCCTTGTCCGACCAGTTCACATATCTCAATCTGATTCCTTGCATGCAGCTTACCCACTGCCCTGATGATGGAGGCAGCAAACACCTCTGAAACGTATGTAAACTTTTACAAAACTATATGATGCTACAACCCAGAAGACAGCTACCTTCATGTGATATGTTTTAAAACCACTTAATTTAACTATAAGAATAATTTTCTCTTCACTTATATTCAACACTTTAAATTTTAAATATTATCACATCAGCATTTAGTACAGAACTTCAATTACTGATACATTGTGTATCCTAATCATATTGAGATGCTCCTGAAATTTTAATGTCCCCTGAACTACTTATGCAGCTTTTAAAAATTTAGCAGATTGGATATAATTTTCAAATAATGTAATATAAAAATAGGACAATGATAACACATTCAAAACTTGCAACAGTGGTATCTGGTTACACAGCTGTTGTTGACAAATAAAAGAGAAAAATTAAGTTCTGTTAATGGTCCTTGTACTGTAATGCTTTACCTAATGCACAGATCATGCATCAAATGTCATGCTAACATAGAGCTACCTATATACCATGTTTAACTTCAGTATTAAAATATCTGAAACAAAAATGCACATACTTGTTAAGAGGAATACAGAACACATGTGATAAGCAACTTATTTATTTTATTGTTATTTGTCCTATTCCACAGTTTTTGAATAAACTGACATACATGAAACATGCCACTGGTGGTCACTCTGATAAATTATTCTTAACTTTTAACTTCAGTGATTCAAACTTGATAGCAATGTAAAGTGTATCAACCTGTATTATCCATTTTTTGTAGTAAGATATCCTTCTGTAGCTTTATAAGACATTCACATGTTAATATATTGGTCATCTACATACGATCTGCATTCACACTTAAAGTCCAGATTACATGGAGAGTGTTTGTAAATGTCTTTATAAATGTTTTGGTTACTTTTGCTGAAAAAAGGTAAAAGCTATAATGCATTAATAATTTCACTTTTTGTCAAATGGTGCATCAATGCAGGTACGAATTTTGCTATCGTACGAGATAATAAACATTTGTACAACAATTTACATGCAAACCCCTTTCATATGTTAAAAGAACTATCGGCATGACAAATTTTCACAGACTTACGAAATTGTGTTTTAAAAATTAAAGAAAATGAGCTGACTGCTGTGAAATGTTGCTGTTTTATGATAAATTAAGTTTTGAAAGCATACTTTGCTAATGTAATATGATGTACAAATAAAACCATTGCCTCTCTGTACAGTGTTCCCAACTTCACCTAAACAGCCATACCAACAGCTCAGAGGAGAAGAAGTTGAAAAACACTTTTGGATGGGCTAGGATTGATGTGCTAGTGATGCTGATTGGCTCTGTGTTCCTTGCCTCCTTATGCTTCTCACTAGTAGTTGAAGCTCTGCAGACATTGGTCCACATTGAACACCATGATGAGATGCATCACCCCATCTCTGTCATGTGTGTGGGAGCTACTGGCTTGTTGCTAAATGGGCTCTGCTATCTTCTGATAGGTGGTAAGCATGTTACTTTTTACTTTGCATTGTTATAGTGTTTATATAAATATATTTTTATAACTCAGGTTAAGACACACCACAGCACACATGGGACTTTGGAAAATATAACTTGGATAAGCAGGGAGAATATACTGCAAACCCTTGGAATAATTTCAACTGTACAGCTTTGTATAATATTCCACTAGTATAGATTTTCAACAACTGGAAGATGCCAAACAGAACCACAAAGTTTCAATGTTTACAATTATTCACTGTTCCAAATTTTACATGCTTTGTTCCATTACTTCAACAGCTGTCACCATCACAAGGGAATTAAATCATCAGAAATACCATCTTAACAAAATTTGCATATCTTTAAGTGTCTACAAAATATTATATTGCAATGAAGAGAACTATCATTAAGCCTATCTAACAACTTAAAACAGTTTCCTAATAGAAGAATATCAGGACGTGTGATTATAATACATACAATGGCAAGACATTTACACCAAGTTTCACAGTAATTGCTGCAACAAATTGTTAATGCATGAGACATAAATTGACATATGGAGATGACAAACTTTACTATCCTCTGGAAAAGAGATTAAAATGGATTTTATGACCCTACTCCACTGGAAATCTTTCTTTCAGGATATACTTTCCACCAGGGAAGTTTCTTACATGTCACTTCAAGTGGCGATGTTGTTTTAGATGGTATAGTAACTAAAGATTCTGTGCAGAAAGACCAGTGTGATATGTCAACTGAGACTCAAAATCCTGCCACATCACCTCAGGTACTGCAACGCCAAGGGATACGAAAAATTAGTCGTGATGTTTTAGGTAAGTATGATATGACATTCATTAATTCAAAACAAACAGTTTGTGGGTGTTTTTATTATATTTCTTAGATCTAAGATTCTCATGGCATAAATTTCAATTGTGGTCATCTAGGTTGATGCAGATACCACGGTTTTGGAGAAGTGGATCATCTCAACTGTCATAACCCAGAAGTTCATTATCAAGATATATATTTTGTTGTCTGTACAGAACACATAAAACATATCTAAACAATTTACCATGCTTAATGCTTTTTGGCAGGATTGAGTGAAGCAACTAGCAACCGGCAATATGCAATATCATATCACATATACATTCACACCAAACAATCAAATTGCTTGTTTGTGAAAGTGTACGTGAATGAAATGATAATTGCATACTGCATGTCCTGTAATTTGCAGAGATTTATTATTTTCTTATCATTCAGTTCTGTAATGTACTGCACACAAGATGGTTCACAGGATGATGCAACAAGCTACTACAAACAACCCCCTCCATAGCAACAATATCACTATTTTTCCAACATAAACAGTTCACAGGGCACTACATGTTATTTCCATAAAAGACATCTGTCATGTAATCGCCTGTTACTAATTAATATGGTTTGAATCTTACTTAAAATGATTTAATGAATGATGAAGCACAATGTATTTTAACATGGAATATATCAGATTGACCAAACCTGTTACATTATCAAACTATAGTACACGACTGTAATCTTGAGACTTGCAAGGAATGCAGGAAGTCCAAAGCGTTGAAGGCTACTGCATAGTATCTTTCCTCCTTCACCCCACTTCCTCACCCCGCAAGTCTCAAGATTACAGTCTTACACTGTACTTTCATCCCTGAAGTGATCCTTAAATGGTCTAAAAATACCACCATAATGAGTTTCTTTCTTCTCACAATAAAAATCCCATCACATATGCCACTTATATCATTAGAAGGTCCAGAGAGTAACAAACTCAGGATTTAGTGTAATCAGATAGAAACAGATATCAGAAGCTTAGTTCTCAGGAAATCAAAGTTGGAAAAGATATGAATATATAGCACTCTGACACAGAATGTAATGGTACACTTGTACTCAATTTTTCCAAATAGTTTAACGTGGTTTTGAAAGATAACTTGATGTTCCCACTTATCAACACAATGCAATCAAACTTGGAATGTCATTTATGGTTCCAAGTTTTTTGTATGGTTAGAGCATGTAAACTGTAATATATCTTCCCTATAGATAAAAACTAAAAAGTTTGTTTGTGTGAATAAGGTTGCCATTCAGCAGCCTCACCTGATATAATTAACTTGATGGTGTAAAACTTTAAAGATAAATCCTCACGTCACTTTGGTAATAAAGTGTTTCTCCATCTTGTTGGTATATACTTTAAATATGATGATATCATAACCACCACCTTTCTTGTCTTCTTAATCTGCTACTTCTCATTCTTAATCTATGCCTGCTGTGCTTAAGGCTGATCTTTATATGGCTTTAAAGCATGAATCATACTATTATTTTCTGTAATCTATTGCAGGTTGCCTAGTTGTGATAGTTTGTTCCTTGATCGTATATTTCACGGATCAGAACTTTGCAAAATTTGTTGATCCAGCGCTCTCCATTTTCTCAGCTGTACTACTGTTAATTCTGAGTTATCCAAATAGTAAGTACATTCTTTTAGTACATATTACAATAATACCATCACTTTTTAGGATAATCAGCTTCATAAAATATCTGGCTTTTTCCTGTTAAAATAACGGTAAATATAAAAATTTTAAATTTTTTTTCAGTGAAAGAGTCTGGTTCTATCTTACTGCAGACAATCCCTGATACCATCAACATCGATTCTCTGCGTTCTGAACTGTTACAAGCTTTCCCAAATATCATCAACGTCCATGATCTTCATGTATGGAGACTAACTGCTACAAAAGTGTTCTCAACGGCACACATCATATTCCTCAGTTCCAATGTAGGTGGAATCAGTTGCACAGATTATTGCCTGTTAGAAAATCCACTTCATGATGAAGTTCCATAATGCATGTAGAAGAAAATGGTTTCATAAAGAAAACAGATGTTTTATAGTGACGTAATTGTTACTTTCAAGCAAGACAGGCCCAAATGATTGTTAATCAGATCTTAACACTGTAAACAATAGTTTACCTTCCTTCTTTATGTTTTCATAACTTCATTATTCACATCACCATATTTGTACTTTTCAGTCCTACCTTAACGAACTTCTACAACCACCATGTTGAAATTCTTGTAGATAGGGATTTAACCTTTATCATGTGAGAATAAGGTATTTAAATGCTTGAACTGCTGCAGTCCCGGCAAGAATTTAACTAGCAATTCAAAATATTTTGCGATGCCATGCAATCTTGTAACATACAAAACAGTTTTATGGAATAGATAACCAGCCGTAAAGCACTGAAGAGATTTGACCATGAAAGGCCTAACAGAATCTACTTTACTGGCTCTCTGATGGACAGGGTTATAGCAAACCAAATAAATTCTTAAATTCATCATATTCAGAAGTATATTAATGAACAACTTATTTTACAGGATTATGTAAGAATTACAAAGGATGTGACGGAGTTCTTCCATGACCAAGGGATCACACAAGTTACCATTCAACCAGAATTTTTTAAGGTAAGGGCAGTAACACACGCAAAAAATTTTTTTTAACAAGTTTATAACTTAGTTATAAACAAGAGTAGAAAGAAAGACTAAAATGAAGTAGACATATTTCAAAATGCATACTTCACAACTGTGTACCTCAATGTTTATTTACTACAGATACAAATCTTTAGTTGCAATGCTGATCACATAGCACATATCACACCACATGGAGTCATTATTTGTTGTATGTGGTTAAATATTTACCATACATACTGCCTCCACCTTCAGGGTAAAAAGACGTTGGTAACCACATTCAAGACCACAATCCACATTTCCTTTATCTTGAAAATCTCAAATCTAAAAAATTGCAAATATTAATATCAGTATTTTGCCATACACCAATTCCTGGTGTAACGAGTAGTTCTTTTTTAAACCGTACAGTTGGATTTCAGCTTCAAGTAAAGTAGGGTTAATATTGGACAAGCTTGAATAAACATTAAATTCACCCAAGAACTTTTCACATAGATTCTCAGTAATCCATTCATTAAACATGAGATGTAATGAAGAAAAACCGGTTTGTGGTTTAATGATGCTCGTCAGTAGCCCATACTATAGTGTTGGATGATTAATGAGTAAATATGTGGAAAAGATATGGAAGTGGTCATGGCCTAATTTTAAGGTACTATCCCAGCATTTGCCAGGAAACACTGCAGAAAACCACAAATAAACCTCAGTCTGGATAGGTTGAGTTCTGAACCTGAAACCTACCAAATATGAAGTAGGACAGCTAACTGCGACATTTGGTATATGAACAAATGGATATGACCTTCACATTGTGAGCTCTTGTGCAAACAATACACAATTATTTTATTATTTTTGAGTTTGACTTCTTCCTGTTAATCCTTAAATTTGTGGTTCTGGAAAGTTCAAGAGAAATAATTCTTTTTTCACCAGATGGACAACAGAAGTAACATTCTGGAGTTACCGAGCATCCATGAAAATCAATGTTTGGTTCAGTGTCGTGAGGTGGGGTGTCACAGCCGACACTGTTGTTCGCATAATGACCAAGAACTAGCGACAGTCACGATAGGCAGTGACAGCAATCATCACAGTACTCATGGGCACAGTCACAACTACTCAAAGGTAACTTACTTCCAGAATACATGGAAAGAAATGGGACCATTTCAACCCTTTGTAATATCCTTCTCTACCAAGTACATTCATGGTCTGATTAACTCTTGGGCAGAACAGCTACATTATGCAGGAAAGCAGACTGTATGCTATACACAGAAATGATTTGCCTACTGTATACTATATTATCTGAGAAATTACACAGCAAAAAGGAATCTGAAGGAGTGCTCAGGAGAATACTCCAACTATGAGAATGATAATTACACAACAAACTTCATAATTTGCCTCTTAATCTAGTATTTTAAGGTGAATTAAATAAAAATTGAGGAGATGGGTGGATGTGAAAACAAGAAGTGCATTCAAAATTATGTATTGAAAAACGTGTAGTAAAAGACAACCTAAGATACTTGGGTGTATATGAGAGATTAATAAAATGGGTCACAAAGGAACAGTTTCAGAAGGTATGAACTGCACTGATTCATTCAGTATGGCAGGATAAACCCTTAGAACACATTACAGCTGAATTCACATTGGCTAAATCATGGAGTCAATTACTTTCCAAGAAAGCAGAGGTATGGAAGTTACTCTTCAACAATAATAAATGTTAGAGCATCCCCATGTAAAGCCAAAGTAGTTGGAATTGCCACTCATATTGGCATTTAGTTGAGAATGGCAGTAATCACTGATGTGTATATTCTGTGGGGTCGAAGTTCTTATAGATGATAGTAAGAATGGTGTGAGTTATTGAATTCTGATTTTGTTCTGTCAATTGTCTGGTATGGGTTCTAACTGTATGAGACACACTTTATAACACGATAAATATTTATTTAGTTCATTTAATAACTCTTTTTCAGCAGCTCAGACTATGTAGCATTAAATGAGAGGATGGCAATGAATAACAAATTGGAAAGGGCGTGGAAGTGGTCAGGGACTAATTTAAGGTACTATCCCAGAACTTGCATGAAGGCACTGAGGAAAGCCACAACAAACCTCAGTCAAGATAGCTGGACTCTGGGCCAAGATTTGATCCCAGGACCCCCTGAATACAAAGCAAGAGTGCTAACCACTCAACCACGTTTGGTACTATAACCATTAAAAATAAATTAATTATGTACTATGAACAGAATTCTAAAGCTACGGGAACAAAATCTAACCCATTTATGTGGTTTTTAAGTGTGTGAAAGCTATTTTATGTTCCAGAACCACAAGAAACATGTAGCTGCAAGAGTCAAAGAGCTTGGTACTTCCAGAAAATCATCAATGCATTCTGATCCTGCATTGGTATGCAAGATAAACACAAGCTTCAAAACAATTTCAAGTGATGGAGACTCCAGGATTTATACTTGTGAAGATGCATGTTCAGCACAATCAAATTCAGATAACAAAGCAGACGAAAATGACAAACAGTTCACAAGCTCAACTTTCTTGAATACCGAACAAGAATCGGTGATGAATAACTTGCATAAAGCTAATGAACAAGCTGAAATTACAAGTAATGGATATGTAATAGAGGTTAATGATTTGCCAAAGACTATTGACAAAGGGAATAAAATTTCAACTGTATGTCATTCAATTCTGAAACAAGAGACAGCAGTTGAGACAAATGATGTAGAGATTCCAAATGCAAATTCTAAATCAGAAGTGGTAAATTCAGAAATATCTTATTCAATACCTTGTGAGCTGAAATCGCCCATTTCAGTAGCACAAGATTCCATGTTAGCTGATTCATTCCTATTGGGCCCAGATCTGTCACATGATCCAGTACTATTACGGACAGTATCGACAAAATCTGACACAGTGCCATCACAACAAGATACATGTGACACAGAATTTCCATTGCCAGACTCTGTATCAACTGGGTTAATGGCAACTAAACCAAATGTGCCTAATACAACAAAACCTGAAACAGACAAATTAAGAAGCCAAACTGAATCAGGAGAAGAATGTGTTTCATAGCTACAATGTCCACGCAATTTGTGGAAATATATCTTCACTTGTGTGCACACTAAGCCTCAGACTCCTTGTTGTAATGTGGGTGAAGGTTGGAGAAGCATGCAGCATACGGGTGTCTTCAGATCATCTAAGTGTTTTAATCAGCGAGTCTCAAAATCTAAACATTAAATGTAGGCACCATACTACACATAATTTAAGTTCACCATTTTTTGCCATAAAATAAGAAAAAATACCTGTATGTTGCATGCATTACATTGTTACATATGAAAAATCCCATAAAAAAGCAGTCACTGTAAATACAAAATATGATGTAACTGGAACAAGCAGAAAGGTACTGATAGACAATAATCATTCTTTAGCACTGCTGTATGAAAGAAATGTGATAAGACATGCCGTGAAGAATTAAGTAAAAAGAGTTACCTTAGTTCCTAATTAAACTCATGTAGAACCTACCTAGTTTTCCAAAGAAAACATTTCACATGGATCAGTGATGTAAACGGTGATTTTTCTCATGATCGACTACTTTCATAAATCTTCATGTAAAGTACACTTCCACGTTCTTATCAAATATCTTGAAAAAATGCATGAATTAAGGAATAAAACAGTATAAATGGGATAATAATAAAATGAGGATTTATGGAATTTATATTATAATTCTCATTCTTATAGCAATAATATTAGAGTGATGCAACTCAAAATGTAATCTGCCTAGCATTTTGTAGTTTAGACGCTTCATGGACTGTTTTTCATTTTCTACTTCTCATCTCTAACATCACACCACATAACTCAAAGGGCTGTAATGTTCAATTTTTATGTATAGCATTTTTATATGTTCTTAATTATTCAAATACTGTGATAGCATTGCCAAAATAGTCAAGACATTGGTTATCAAAATATAAACCAGTGTATGTTGGAAACTGTTGTGGTGCCAATGTTTCAAGAGATGTATCAGTTATATGCAGTAGAAAACCAGTTTTTGGGCAAGGCATACTGGATCAGAGTGTCCTGTCAGCTCCTCGTTCACTCATAGGAAAAAAGGGTTAAATCATGAAACATGTCTGGATGCATCTGGTGTTCAGTATGGTTAATATCATGTTTCGTTAAAAAACAAAGAAGTAAGAATTTCATTTATAACAAAATTTTCATCAACAACAAAATACTGCACCCTGTCATTTTCTTTTAATATCTGGGTTAGAACATGAAATTTCAAATTTGAAGTTAAAATCTAAGCACTGTTATTTGATCTGCTTTTTAAAACACTTTCACATTCAGGAACCTCTGGTTCTATCCATGACTGGATCTGGGACCAGATTGAAGCAAATGACAATGCTTGGACTATGTCTGAAATCAGCCTTCAGTTCAAACAAAATGTCTATCCATTTCATTTATCAAAACAGTTGCACATTCAGAGCCTGTGAGTAAATATGTTTTTATATAAAAATATGTTCATGGCAAATGTGAAATATTCTAAAAAATTAAACATTCAATTACAGTGTATACCCATGTGAGAGATTAAAGATGATTTTTTGTAAGTGAAACAGATTTATATCATATACAGGTCATGTCCCCTCAGCCTTAGTGTCATCTAGGTGGTCTGTCTCATTTAACTTCATGTATGAAATATAAAATTTCTCCACAAATCTTATGTTGGGAAAAACAGTTTAAACACCACAGAACCTAACTTAACCTAACCTAACCAGAGGCTTAGGATGAAATTCACTACCATAGGTTTTTGGAGAATAAAAGAGGGTATAGGTGGTGAATTTAACACGCCAATCAAACAAAACCAAATAGCTTTAAAAAGGAGAAAGATAAAAAACACAAGACAAGATAATAAATTTAAATTAATTAGATGAAATCAAATAAAATGTTACGAATTTCAAGAATCTGTTGGGGTATAGGTTTTAACATTTGTCAAGAACACTTCTTACATTTGTATAAGCACTGGAAAATTGACAACATAAAAGACGGGCAGTAACAAATTGTATACATATGGATAAATTTTAAGAATAAATATATAGGAGAGATAGTGTATAAAGATTAATATTATTTCTTTGATGAAACAAATGACTTGTATATACCAAAATAATAATAATAATAATAAAAATACTGTCATTGGATTTTTTCTTCTTCTTTAAAAACGTTTATTTCTCAGCCTATCTTATTTTCTTAAGGGAAAAAAGTATTTAACTTGGAAGGGGTAGGCAGGAATATGATATTAAAATACATCTTAAATATGTGGCAATGTGGAATAGATTCAAGTGGTTCAGAAAAGGTTCCAATAATGGGGTCTTGTTGACATGATACTAAATCTATGGGTTCTATAGAAAGAAGATAATTTCTTTTTCAGCTGAGTGACCAACTTCTGAAGTAGAGGACTCTACTCCATTAAGTTAGTGTAACAGTGGGAATTATGTGATATTAGCTTAACTGCTTAGAGAGGTTTGTTTACATAACAGGGAAATAACAGACTGCACTGCAACACACAGCAGAAATTGTGCTGCTCCAATATTGCAACAAACGTTATTAAAATAAACACAAAAACTTGGAACAGTCTTCATCAGCATTAAATTAATACTCAGGTTTATATAAATCACCTGTATGAAAAGTCATACACACACAGAAATATTTTATCACAAACTAAACAAAAAACTAATAGAATAAATTTCAAGTGGACAAAAATTAAATAATGAATTGGTAACAGGAGTGACAGGTATTATACAGAATTATAATCTCATAATTGTTTATAACAAAATTTATTTGTTAATCTGCAACACCTTAAGACTTTCTTTCAATTCATTCCCATACATTTAATGTATTTGGATTGCAAGAACAAAATTGCATTATAAACAAAAGCAACCATTTTTTTCAGCTAAAATTACAATTAAATTTAAATAAATGTCCCACTAAACTCTGGCTACAGGTTTGAAAAATTGTTGGTAATGGCAATTATTAGTGTACAGATATCTTACATTAAGACCAGTCACTGCTTTTACTGAAGCATTTGTAGGCAGCTATTATAATTACATGTATTTAGTGGTCAATAATTTAGGTAAAAGAAAGGTTTTATGGATTACAATAAGGAATGAAGCTTATCATAAGAATATCTGTAATTTTGATAAGCTTAAATTCTGACCTATACCATAATGAACAAACAAAAAGAGAGAGAGAAATGTAACCATTATATGTATATATGTTAGCAAATATGGAACATTCAGCAAGACAAGAATAAAAGCATTCAAAATTGTATGTTCACAGGCTTCAACCAGTCCAATAAACTAATCCAATGCAGTTAATGCTGAAAATGCTATGTTTCTTTAGATCTGCCAATTTCTCATTTTAAAAACACATGGTCTAAAGGAATACACAAACATGACAATATTAAATTTCTTGAATGAAAGAAAGCTAATGTTATTTACTTACTAAGGAACCTTAGCCACATCAATGACAAAAATATGACGGAGGCTTTGCCAAAAACTGACAAAGATCTCATATGTTACTGTCATATTCATTGTCTGTCTCTTCCCATGATCATGTTTCAGACAGAACATGCCCAAGCTAATTTCTCTATAATAACAACATTCAGGACAAATGCATTTTGAAAAATTTCTTATTGCAAATCATGTTAAAATTTATCAAACAAGAAAAGTAACTATGGTGTGAACCAAACCACGTGGACTACCAGTTTACATACAGGCCTCAACACAATGAATGAATATTCTCTTAAGTTACAAATGCTGCTATGTCCTGTGCATAATTATGGCCCTGGAACCCAAACCTGCAACTGGTTGAGTCACACTAAAAATATTTTATTGGTGTGAAGAGCAAGTGTTAGATAAAAACTACAGGACACTAAAAGCTCACTTCACAAATGTAACTGCATGAAATTCACATATTTATAACAGTACCACTTTGCCAAAGTTGCCTGCTCTAATTATACTATCAATTTTCTTCTCAATCAGTAAATACAATTAAAACTTCGTAATTCTATAGAATATGTCAGGTCAAATTTAAGTGTCAAAATTACAAGTTAAGAAAAGAACTACTTAATATAATAATCTAATATCTATACCTTTAAGCTCCATTCTCATTTTATATGTTAAGATAAACTTCATTACTTAATTTCATAAAAAACGTGTTTATAGTATTTTCCAGTAGAAACGGCAGCCGAATGGTGCACCAATCACATGTACTGTAGCTTGGAAGGAAGTAAAGATGGGAGGGGGGGGGTGAATTACAGAACATACAGTAGTGCCAAATTCAGCAATGTGGAACACTGGGTTTCAGTAAATGTGATCTGTTTTGTTAAATGTATTTACATGGAAAGAATCAAGTACTTGTGATTACTGTATATTAATTCATGAACTTGGCTATACAAATCCAAGCCTTTCTTTTCCATCAGAAGATAAAGTTACAACACTAAACAAACAAGTGCAAACTGGTAACAACGTAATGTTCACAACTGTAATCATGAGACTTGCAAGGAATGCAGGAAGTCAAGCGTTAAAGGCTACTGCATAGCAGACGCTGTCCTTCCCTGCAAGTCTGAAGATTACAGTCGCGAACAGTAGTTTGGCTGCTGCTTCTGAACAGACAGAACAACTGCTATGAATCAGTAGCCCTTCCCACTGACTGGTCACTCATAAAGAGCAGAACTCAGCCACCAGTTCGACTGAAAAACACTACAACAAAGTATTAAACTCCTGTATTTTCTTGTTTAGTGTCAAAGGAACAAGAATAAACACTAATATTACTTCATTAGGGCATCTTGTTGATATGTCTCATGACAATATCAACCATACAGCGAAAAAAGCACAATAATAAAAGAATCTAAAAACAAAAATGTATTACACTGCAGGGCTGCAGTTTTGTAAATTCAGTAGTTGAAATGGTAAATGGTAACTTGACAAATGTACCGAACACGAAAACCTTGTAATTCATCACATCTACTGCGTGCTCGGAACATTAAATTCAATTCCATTATGGGCTTGTAATTCAGGTTAGGGATTTTTATGTTTTGTTAGAATGCTACATTTCCAAAATGTTTCACAGCCATAGAAACTATAAGTTCTGCAAATACATGAAACTGTGCAGATATGATATGGGGAAATCTCCATTCAAAATAAATCTGTGCTGTTTATAAAATATTCAAATGCAGTAACTTAAAACAATTGTAAAAAGAGACATACCTTTCACGGTAAAGCAATATAAAGTCATTATTGTGCTAAGCACCATGTTATGAGGTAAAGCTCAACACAATAAACTTGGCACCAGATGAAGATGGGCAGTCAGGTTTACAATTCTATCTACCACATTTCATGGTGATTTACAAACATTCATACTACAATACTGTAACATTACCAACAATATAACAAGATTAATTTGATAAGTTAAAGCAAAATATTAGTTCCATTTGTTTCTTTACAATTTTGTAACTGGGTATAATTCCAGCAAATATGATGTTCAATGGATTTACAAACCACAACTCTATTCAACAGCCAGATTGATGGATAACTCAGAGTACTTCTGTCACAAAAATCTGTCTGTAATTTTTCTAATCATCCCCTTCACCCCTACCACCCAAAACAAGGCAAGTGGTCTACAATGCATATAAAGAATAAGGCCTACAGTCTCTGTGGGTTCTGAAATTATTAAAAAGTCAGAAATTCTGGTAAACACAGTCACATTATGAACCATCCAAACATACCACCTGATTCCACTATGTGTACTTATTCACATACATTTAGAAAGTCAAACATCCTGCAAGAAATTATCAAACATGTAATACTGCAAGCATGACAAACTGAATGCACGTAGGATTTAAGGTTCTCAAGGTGGTGAGTATGAAGACACCGTGTTTCGGATTTGTAGTGTCACGTAGTCCGGTAAAAGTTTACTATCATTTCAGAGGTACTTACTGCCTTCATCATCAGGGCATCACAAAGGTGGCAGCAAGTATATCTGAAATTATAGTAAACTTTTACCAGACTACATGATGCTACAACCCAGAAATTAACTATCTTCAACCTGAACACAATCTACAGCCTAAGATTCACATAGAGATGGTGACATAATATGTAAATAATACTGTGATATTAAACCGTTTGCACTAACCAATACAGGAATTATTATAATAAAATAAGCCAATTTCACAATGCCATCTGGTATGCAAACAAATAATCGACCAACTTCCACCTTATATTTCAAAGCATGAAAGCAATTAGCATGTCTCTGATGTATTTGAAAAAAAAAACTTGAAGCAAAACTGACACATTTCTAATCAATACACAGTGCTATGAAAATTAACATAAAAAGCTCACATTACTGTTCATTCTCTTGGCCACATTTCCAAATCTCTATAAATAGTGGTCAAGAAATTAAAAGAATCAACTATTTTGTTCAAAACTGAAATTATTCCACCTAATTTCCAAAACCCTATGAAGATGCTGTTACAGTACATATAAAACAGTCCTCAGAAGCAAGAACATAAATTATAAATGACTGAAAGCGAACGGGGGGTGGGGGGGGATACTTTTGACAATGGACAGTGTCCAAAATAACTGTCCTATAACAATATTTCAATATAAAAACTCTGTGATAGATGATGAAAAGTTTCTAGCACAAATTAGTTCTTTTCATCCAAAGTTTTTAAAAAAGGAAGAATATCAAATTTAAATGTAATTAATGGATGCCATAGAATTAAGATTAACATTAAATTAAGAAAAGATTTGGTAACACAAATACATACAACCCGTAGGAACTTTAAGACTGATTTCTACACTTCTCTCTTCAATAACTGTTTTAATCTTACAAGCAATGTAATAAATTTGTAAATTCATGAGACAGGTGGACATTGAGGTTATGGTTAAGAAAATGTATTTATATGTAGAAGGTAATGTTTGATATATAATGTTAAAAAGTAAACTTACTGATTGATAAAGTGCATAAATGTACTTAATTCAATGTTGACTAACACCGACATGATTGACTGCTTTGTCTGAACAGCCATATCACATCTGTAGGACATGCTAGGGACATCCTGCCATTTAACTAGAGCTGCAGAGGGTACACAATGCTATTTAAAAAAAGTCATAAGAGGGTTAAAGGTAATACAAGACATCCAGATATAACACAACCTACGGTAGTTTCTTGTTAAACTTTTAACAACTGACATCCATGACTTCAAATTTTCCCGTCACAATATTGCATAAAACAAAATGGGCATAAATTATTTACAGTAAATACAAAATTTTGAATATCTTTAGTGCAAAATTTGTGTTGTAAATAAAATGAGTAAACATAATACTTGGACAATGAAATTTTAAAATTGCCTTGGATGATGATACTATTGGAAACTATGAACTTTTATGACTTTTGTAACTTAGGTTCTGGACTGAATTATAAAATTTATTATAGAAAAACTGTATAAAATATTTTACAAAAAGATCAGAGAAAATTTCTCTTGAAGTCTTGGATAAGTTTTCATTTCAAAAGTGCAATAGCAAGAGACTGATCCCAAAGAATTAAAAACGTTTCTTTCCAGGCATTATGAAGTTCAATCAGTGTAGTCCTGTAACTGTCTTTAGCCAGTACTAAAGGTGCATTGACATCACAAAATATTTGGTCATTAAGTGAACAAGAAATTACCTGACATTACATGTAATATACAACTCCTGTTCTACACCATCATATTCTTCCTGCCCTTTATTATGACGTAGCATGCTCCTTATAACAGCAGCAGCAGCAGCAGTAGTAGTAGTAGTAGTAGTAGTAAAAGGTGTAACAGTAATAACAGTAACAGTGGTGACAGTAGTTGTCACTGTAGTAATCAAAGTAGCAGTAAAGTGCAGTACATACGTGAAATACTTTCTCTCTTCTGTTGTGGTACAAACATAATTCGATGTTCTAAGACGGAAATAGGTAGCGTCACTTATTTAAAATCAGTGAGACATTTTTCAGCACTCATTTTAACACATTACAATCTTGAAATTGGCCTGAAGCAAACATTTATATGGGCTAAATGTAAAATCTGTCCCACTATATGCCATTCGGCACTAGGTAGGGGTGAGAGGCTAGCGTAAAGCCCCGGCTGCGCTTTACCCCCAAGAAAGGACCCCAGTACCCATTGGACAGGAGGCTGGGTGGGCCTCAGAGCCAGTCTGGACGCAGAGGCTAGAGGAAAAATCCTCTGCCCCCGTCGAGGATCGAACCCGGTTGTCCAGTCCTGTAGCCAGTCACTATACTGATTGAGTTACCCCTAAATGTAGAAGAAGAAAATCCTAAAACAGAAACGTGTAATTTAAATATCTCAATAAATCATTATACAGTTTTCACCCTAATACTGCAACAAGAATTTTAGACGAAAAGTAAGGGTTATGTATAAGCAACTGGGTCATTAAAATGTCAGTATGACATTTGACAGATATCACATTACTCAGATTCATGATTCTTGAGTCATCTTCAACTAATTTTCATATCCAACAATACTTTAGGCATTTTATGCTCATCCAATCTTTTAACATGTCCAGCCCATCTCAATCTAATTCTCTTGATTTGGTTCTGTCTTTCCTTCATATTGAAAACCCCCCCCCCAATGTATGTTTTTAGAATTCTGTCTTGATATTTCCCACACACCTCAGCTTGTAGTTCACTTCTCTTTATATTAGTACATTTTATTTGGTTTCCACTGCTCCAAAGCGAAACAGACAACTTGCACAAATATATTATGGGATTTTCCATAAACTGGAAGCCAACACACTGACAGGATTACACTGTGCTCAGACTAAAATACATATGGAGACTTACTGTAATACTTCATTTAAAAAAATCGTAACATTAAGAACAAGCGCAATAAACTATGAAGCAGATAAGCATATTATAAAGAATAATTACCAAAACGATAAATAGCACCACTTGAAGAATAAGATCTGAAAGGATCTAAGGCATGTCTCCCGTATTTGTGTCAATTCAACGTATGAAGCAGTTATTGCTTTACTTTCTGAAGTACTGTACCCATGATAAAAAAAACTGGTTTTAGTGAATAAAATGTAGAATCCCATTTCAGGTACCATTATTCTGAAGAAGCGCTTCTTGGAACGTCACTAATTTGTCTGTCCTTTCCTGTGCTGAGCAAATCAGCAGATTTTATTCAAGTTCTGTTATACATGTTTATATCACTAACAGATGTCCAATTAACACAAACCTATTTCCTAAAAAGTAGTTAACACAAAATGGTGCTCAATGAAGAAGAAGAAGAAGGAAAAAACACATTAGACAGGGATGGCAGAGTCTAAAAATTTTAATTAAATTCTACTTATGAGCAGAGTCACAGCACTAAATATCCCTAATGAAAAATAAATTGTCAATAGGGAATTTTCTTTTTCCCTGAACATATACATTAGATATGAACTGTTTCATACAATTAAAATAAACAGAAGTACACTCTGTAATAATAATAGGGATGTAACAAGCAATGCATTTACTTTATATGGCTGATCTACCGATAAGCCTGAGACTGGAGTCGAAAAATACACATAAACAAATATGAGCCCATAAGCATCTGAATATGTGCGGGAATTTGGATGAGCCGACTGACCAAAAATTATTTGAGAAAGACAAGAAAGGAAGAGACAAATGGACATGCCCAGTGAAACTGAAACAGGCCATTTTATTTGCACAGGAAACCAGCCAATAAAGTACTGAAGATGAGAAGACAATTCTGGTCCCATCTATACAAGAAACTTAACAATCCAATCAGAACGGACCAGCTACTACATGAGGCAGAAACAGGAAAGTGTGAAGAGGTTCTTTAATGTTGTCTGTTTAAAAATAAAAGAACACGCTTACCAGCAGCTCTCATATAAAGGTTCACCAAAATTCATGTAATCCAATTCCCACAGTTGCCAAAGCCTGCTCCTGTGTGATTGATGCTAATTCCTTCAGCCATTCATCAAGAAGAACAGCGCACATCACTATATTCCGTAGTTCTGCCGTTTCTGACATAAGAATGGACTGATGTGAATACCTGCAAGAAACAATGTACTTCAATTGGTATTATTATAAGCAGGTATGTGGAGTCAGACGCAATTTTAGGTGGAGGTGGAGTCAGTAAAAATGTACCGACTCTGACATAAAATCTTAAGAACACTTTCGCTACCATGTGAGCCGCTGGTGGCCGAACGCTTAGGAAGATTCAACGACACGTTGAGCCACATGGTGTGGGAATAATGCTTTGTAACTTTGACTCTGGTACCTTAAGAATACAAACTGTCTACAAATCAACCAATTTCTGCAATAACCATTACACGTATATTTAAATATAGGTTATAAGTCTAAAAAGTAGCCTGATGATTCATGTGGTGGTGATGAAATCTCTTATGGTACCATTTACCATTTTAGTAGGTTTATCATTATTAATACATATTGAGCTTTTATGAAGGAGTTATAAGACACATATTTAGGATTATTTTTATTCAACATCAATACTTCTCCAAAACAGAGAATCTAAGGGGTAAAAACACACATAATTATAGCACCTCTAACATTAGTGACATCATCTTCCCATGATGCATCTTGATGTATACAATCAAGGCTCATTCCACCTTACATCTAGGATCATGGCTAGAGCATTTGGTTTAAATTTACTGTAATTTGAAAAATGAGTTTTGAAAGCTTTTAGCAACTGTTTTGCAAATGCCAAGCCACTCCTTTTTCCTGTAATTCTCCAGCAGTGTTTGTATGCTGATCAATATAGGAATTACCACGGAGAGGGTTGGATATGATTCTCCACTTAATTCTGTGCATGCTTGGTCGATAGGTTGTAAAATGTTGACTATTTCACCTGCCATCTGCCATTCAGTTTGATTAAAACATTCCACCTTGGCATTCTCAGCTAACTCCGCAGAAACTGGTCCCCTCTGTTCATCAACTCTACTAAACATGTAATATTCACTGTTCTGTTAAGTATCAACATCCTGAGTGAGATTGTGTTCAGGTTTTCCCATCTTTCTTTATACGACCAAGTCTTTCTTGCCCTTGAACACAACAACAATAATTTCCAACATCTGATCTTCACTGAAGTCTGGTGTCAATTTTTTTGCATCACTTATAGCCAGTTGCATTGTGTGGGCAAGACAAGGTATAGAAAGCCATTCTGTTGCACAGAGTGTTGATACCATGTTCCTAATATCAGTAACAATGTATATTGGTATTGTAGAAGCTTCAAAGTTCCATTCCTATAAAACAGTTTTTCTTATACTGCAGCTCCTGTGTGCTGTCCAGGAAAGTATGAATTAGATAGAATGTATCATTTTATTACAAAATCACAAAACATATAATGATAAGTAAGAGAAATATAGCTGTCTTCTGTTCAAGATGCCAAAATATCTGTAGTGAGTGATAGTGATGAAGCAGAATCTAAGTCTTTGGTTAAATTTTGTTTGATTTCTGACTTGCAGATGGAATACATTTCAGGTATAATACTTATAGAGAACACATTTCTTGAAATACTTGAAATCTAGGTTCCATTGTATGCAGCAACTCTTGGAATCCTCTACCTTCCACCAGTGAATACAGCTGATAACCCAATACCACTATTTTTCCAATAGCTGAGGTAATTGCTTTTGCTCGAGGTTCAGGGCTCATTTTTTGTTTTTTCACAAAGCTACTGTCTAGAATCAGCAGTTTTTAAAGTTTGTTTAGTTGTTCTCTTCTTACTGGTCATTTATTTTTGCTTCCAATATTCTATATTCTGATGTGGATGCTTGGCCAAATGTCAAATCAATGTTGTTGTGCTTCCAGCAGGTATTCTGAGAGAAAGATTGCACATATTGCACTGTGCATCACTGTTTGATGTTTTGGTAAAAGAATTCCACACTAGTGCACCTTTTTGATCTGAATATTTAGACATTTTTGATTTTATTAAATAATGGGGTAACAGTTTTATTGTAATATAGTAATTCACAGATTACTTGGCTTGTTACACTGCAAAGGAACTAATAATAGTTGAAACAGATGTAACAGTTCTCAATTTCCTTAACAATAACAACGGCACACAAACTTCACATAACATTTAAATCGAAAAAATATACATGAACCGGCAACAGGGAGGAAGAAAAGTAACATGTTTCACTAATAAGTGGAATTCAAACAATGCCTCACTTTTTGTGCTCATTAGGAGTGATAAATAGTCATGTTTTAGTTTTAAGGCAAGTTTATATTCTTATTTCTACAAAGTGGTTCATTGTTTTTCATTACATATATTTTTGTTTTGTTTAAGTGTTTGATTTTAGAGACTACAAACCTTAAATATGAGACCGGCTAAATTCGGCTTTCGTCAGTTACGCCCACTTCTCGTTATCAGCAGATAGACTGAAGATGTAACAGTCCCGCCTCCCGCACGTGCATATATCCTACGGAAATATGTATACAACGAGAGATCGATGCTCACGATGCACTATCGATAACACTACGAGCTGAAAGCCGATGGTTGCTTTATCGATTGCGTAGAAAATCCGTACTAGGCGCGATATTGAAAATTACGAAATAAGAGTCGAAACTAGATTTTTCAAACATTTTTTTTCGTTTGAGTCGAGTTTTTTTATTTAAAAACTCAGAATTTTGAACAGTTCTGACATCACTAATATAAAACAAACAGTTAAAATGTGATAATATTATGCAGACAAATTCATGTTAATATAGCAAGGTATGTCACATAACTTTCACACACCTAAAGTGACTGGGTCCTGGATCTGAACTCTCCAACTGACTCTCCCGGATTGTTTGGGGTGGAGCACGTCGGAACACTGATGACAATGCCGATGTTAAACTGCGCCTTTTTGGTTCCCCTATAAGAAGATCAAGACATGAAATGAGATCCCTGTCTCTTATGATCCTAACAACTGAAATGTGCCTTCAGCTTGTCTCAGTTTTCACATATACAATTCCATATTATTTACAGAGGCCATGTCATGCCAAGTACAATGGTTTGAATAAACAACACTGAAGAGATATGATAGAAGCAAAGCTATAAGGAATGTGAGGTTATAGTTAACACCGCAGCAGTTATAAAAAAAGGTAACTGGCTGGATCCATGAGTCTGCGCTGACAGAAACATACCATAAATGCTCAAACAATAGCTCAGACTACTATTTACAATTCCTGTGCCAGCCTCTGGCTAAAATTCAAGTCTAGGCTATTGTTCACATACTAGTACCTAACCCTTTAAAGCCCAGTGACAACTATAAGTACTACCTAATATTTAAATTTAGAATGTAACTACATGTAGCACAGTTCTTCTGGAGAAAATACTAGTAGATTACCTACACAAGACATTTATAACATTTTGTGAAACCCAAAAGTTTATTAATGTTAACAAGAACATACCAGTAGACACCACCCCTAGCAGAATCTAGTTTACATCCTCATACTATCTCCTGAGGTATGCCAAGTGGTCTTCTACCTCCTCGTTTTCTGAATAATATCTTGTATGAGTTGAATTTGTAAATGTTTATTAATTTAAAAAAGTCCTGTTTTACAAATACTGGTACCTTTAACAATCGTTAGCATCTTCTTGTTAATTTACTTGCATAAACCAGTATCTACAATTTGTCCTACCTGCTACAATATGACTGAGGCCACTACTTTAACCTCAGGACTTAAGTAAATATATAAAGCAAGCAAATATTCTGTATTCGGTAAGATAATTCAGGACAGGTAAGTCCTATTTCAATAACTGACAAAAATGTGTCACCAAATTTTCTAAGCCAAATGATAATACACTGTCCTCTGCACAAAATACAGTACCTCTTGAGAATGCATCGCTCACCAAGGAGCTTCTCCTACTGCTGTTACTGTTCACACTGTTGCCACCACTAATGTTGGGGTTACTGAAGCTGACGTTTGGATTTAATTCTTCCAGTGCATGCTTCCGTGCATTGACCAGCTTATTTTCACGCTTCAGAAGGAAATTTTGAGCCTGAGCTACCAACTCTTCAGTACATGGTTGCCGTGCCAGATACTGATCTATCTTCTGTTTAAGCGAACCCAAAACCTGTATGTAAATAAGGAACAAATCTTACTTCATGACAAACTCAAATTTTACTACAATTGCAAGTTTTAACTTTCAACGAACTTTTAAATTATCACGAATGGATGTGCTGACTTGGTATTCAATTCAAATCAATTAATTTCTTTCTTTCTTTGCTATCAATGTTATAAATCACAGCCAGAGAGCCAATTACAGTTATTTTTAATAGAAAAAGAAAGAATTACAAAGGGACCTCACTAAAATGCACTCTACAGGATCCATATTTGAATAGAACAATCTGAGATAGATCAATTTATATTAAAGTCTCTTTGAAAGTGCCAGACCATTAATGCAAATGTTTTGGATCAACATTACAGTGTTCAAACAGTGAGTTACAAAGAAAAATACATTTAAGATTGTTCAAAATGAAGATGACTGTCTTTTGGGTTGTAGTGTTGTGTAGCCTAGAAGAAATCTAAGATAATTTCATAGGTTCTTGCTGTCTCCGTGTTTAGAGTGACTTGTTGCCCTGACAACTGAGGCAGCAAGGACCTCTGAAATGTTGGTAAACTTCTATCAGACATTTTGTCACTACAAATCAGAAGACAGAGATCTTTGTACTAACTGCCATAAGAACCTCAAGCCCTACTTGTCAATGACTCCTTTAAGTTAATTGATATTGAACTAATCTAAAACAATGAATAAATTACCTGAAAAAGTGAGCGGATACTTGGTTGGAAGACAAGAGAGTGGCTGAGCAGGAAAGAATGCAGCAGAGGCTGGGGGTATACAGCAAGTCGGGAGATGAGACCAGTAAGGTGCAGGTTCACGTACAAACTGTTTGACAGCAAGGCTTCTAGCTTCTTTAGAATCACATCAAGGAATGGACCTAGAAACAAGATGATGAATGAAATGTACTGTACACCAGAAAATATGATTTTGTTTTGTGTGTCAGAGATATAAACCAACCAAAGACTGTACTTCCATTTTATTAATAATAAAATAACAGAAATCCTAGTGTATGACAGATGAATATTGTATACATAAATTACACAATATTAAGATGGATCATACAAATATAGATTGTTGAAGATTAACAAGCGTGGTTCAACTAAGAAAAGAGTTTAATGGCGTTTTGTTAATTACTACTTTGGTTCCAAAACCTATCATGTGAGTCAGCTGACAAAATGAAAGTACTCTCATGACAAATAATTTTAATATTTCTGAGACAATGAAAGAACCAGCTCTCTATATTAGAACTCAAAATTCATCAACATTAACACCAATGTCCAACATGGATATATATTCTGAATCAGTTCATTCTTTAAGCAAAGTCCTGCATGATGGTATTGACCACTTATGTGGTATATTTCCAGCTCATTATCTCTTCCAAAGTGGGATTCTAACAGTCCACTGGCATTTGTTTGGGTTAAAGTTTGTTATGGTAATTCAGACATTTTGTATTCTTGTTTAAAATTCAATATCTCATATTTTCCTATAAAATTATGAAACAAAACTGTAAATTTTCGTCTTTATAACACAAACACAAAATGTGTTCTCGGAAACATTCAATACTTTTTACCTTATCCCAAATATACGCACGACTGGCATGGATCTGTTGGAATAGTCATCACTGATGCACTTCTGACTCATGCACTTATATGTTATGCAATCCTAACCAGGGTATAGCATTTACAAATGAAACATTATACAGGCCTAACATCCAATATGGTTTTGGAAACACAGGAATCTTCACTGTAAAACTCATTAACAATAATATGAAGAAACTTAAGCAGAAGATGGAACATTTCAGTATAGCAACAGCTAAAAAATGTAGGTGTTCATACCAGTTTCTGCCTGAAAAAATAACACTTTTCTGAAATCAAGAACTCCATCCTTTAACCACATTAGTTGTTCTCTGCAATCAATCAAGCATCTATTCACACACATTTTGAACGCTGGAGGAACTCATCTCTTGCATTTCATTCAGAGAGCCCAAATTTCTTTCAAAATTAGCACCTTAGTGTGTATGTCATAGTTTGTAGCACATCTAAAAATTGTAAATATCTTGGTTTTCACATAGCCAATATTTCTATACTCTCACTGTTTGAATTAAAATTATATATGTAACTGCCATTGGCTAAGAGACGTCCACCGCTTCTGCGTTTCAATATACTGTCTGGAACCAAACCCTGTAGCACTTGAAGGAATGCAGAAACTATAATGTGGGTGTTGTCAAAGAGAAGGGAATACATTTACTATTCAGAATAAAAGTACTGACCGAGCTCGCCTTTATTCCACTAGTAAAGTTTATTTGCTGATTTCCTTTAGCATTTGTCAGTATTACCAGACAGGAATATAATTCACTGAGGGTAGATCCTGTCCACATCTCACAGCACAAGCTGTTTGTCACTCCATATCACCATGCAGAAATATTTTCATGGTGAATATTAGTTGTGCACACCAGCTAGGAAGTGGCCTCCTGATTGGTTGATGCTTTTCCTTGTTCCACTCCCTCCACCTGCACCTCGTCCCACAGGGCTAAGCACTCACACCCAAAGTTTACATGGTATAATTTTTTTTATTAGTTCAAGGTCTGCTGGATAATTTAAATAATCTCATAACACATGCAGTTTTATTGAATTGCAGAAAACACTTCAATAATGAACAGCTATTCATTTGCTTCTTACTGGTGTTTTAAAATACCATCACTCCACTGTTTAAAAAACACAAAATGTGTCTGAAATAAGAAAAATGAACACATAACTTGAAGAAATCTGACAAAATAAATATCGGGCACGAGACAAAATCGACACATAGTTATGGCGATAAAGAGAGGACAAGAAATTCAAGAATAATTCATGATCATGGACCCAAAAATATGAATGAAACATCCTGGAAACCTTCGATGTTACCGTATGTGTCTGTCCATTAATCACGGATTTTACCAAAGTCATCTTAGACTATTTCAATATCTAAGTTCAGAATGGTGCTTGGTAAGAAGGGCTCTTCAGTCAAAAATAATTTATTTATACCAACTTACATCCTTCTGACAACCATATAAATATTTCAAATGAACAATAAATAAATGCTTAGCAAGAATACAAAATTTAAAAAATGCAGTCACAAACAAAATAATCTCAAACTGTACTTAATGGATGACTTTACCAATGAGAAACACAAGCATGACAATAAATAAATATTCCAATATTCATGTCACTTATTTACAAAAATACAAGGTAATATCCTATACATACTTATCAACAAAAGTGGCTGAAGTTGCCAAATTTGTATCAGATCCCCTTCAGTGTACTCCCTTTGAGAGGTGGATTAACACCTAGCTTAATGATGCTGACACTGTTAGAAACGTGTCTGAAATTCTGCTTTCCTAATAGTACTGCAAAGTACCTGCTGTGAGTTCTGATAACTACAAAACATCATTAAATTTCTTACCTTAACATTTAATTTCATCTCTGGAAACAAGTTGCAATAATTAAAGGGGATGTGGGAGGGGTCAAAGTCTTCTTATTCATAGCCACGAAACACTGTATGTAATACTAATGTGAGCTGACGCACTGTCACAATAAAGCAATAAATCTCCATTTCGTATATCAAAACACTTTCTCAGATATCACATAACACACTTGTATAATACTGTTGATTACTAGTTTTGTCTAAAGGAACAAATTTGTAATGCACACCTCCAACACAAAAGAAAACAGATCTGTATGTCCTTGAAACAGACCCATGCTGAGCATATCTGCCGCCCGGGTGCAAGCACATTCTGCTGCCTAATGTACAAGTATTAAATTTTTCTATTTTTAGATTACCATGTTTTTATTTATGGATGAATTTCCATTCTTCTTAGCACACCTTCAACCACGGCTCCCATAGGCAATTGCATACTTTGCTACCCTCTGGTACCACCCTTGATTTTCAGAACTCCAATGCAATGCTACAAAATTCTGTGCTCCCACAGCAAGTTGCCGGCCGGGTGCGATGCACCCGTTGCACCCATAGGGTGGCGCAGCTCTGCCTTGAAATTTTATTGTATGTGTGTGACCTTTTCTTCTAGCTTCTGCTTCCAGACCAGCCTCCTACTTAATTCATACCAGGGGTCCTGTCCCTGGGACAAAGTGCAGCCAGGGCATGCTAACCATTCATCCCCATCCAGTGCCAAGATAAAGAATAAATAGGAACTATACTTGCTCTCCATCAAAGTGCATCTATGGCATCTGGTAGGAAAAATTTACTTTGTGTGTCCTTTGGAAGTGGTAAGTAGAGATTTTGATTGTGACTTCTATTTTAGTTAGAGCTTTTACCCACTTCTTCCAAAGGATCCTCATAATATGTCAAGCATTCCAGAAGCAATTTCACTGAGCATGGAACAAAACTTGATGGAGTCACTGTATCATAAAATGCTAATTTAAAGAAGTTACAAATACAAGTCACACATGCCTTCAATAAACATCTACACTACATAACTGACCCAACAAAGAATGGTGAAGGTGAGATAAACTACTCATGACAGCATACACTATGGCCACCTAGCTGGAGGAAGTCACACTACTATGATTAGTGCTGCTATGGCAGCATTATCATAAATTTTGGGTACCACTTCACATATCAATCTTGAAGAATGTAACTATTTATAATTTATAACCAAATTTACTTTTGGATATTAATTATATACTTGGAAATATAACAAGGCTACAATATATAAAAAAATAAAGTACAGAAAGGGATATGCTGTGAACTTTCTCAGTAAGGAATAAATGTACATTGACAGCAGAAACTGGAAAAGACATTTTCAATACAGTATAAAATGTTAAGTACACACAAGAGTAAAATATATTGAAATAACTACATACCAATGTCTGGTGTTGTGTTGAAGATGTCTAGGTATGATCCTTCCCGAGAGAACTTTCGACTAAACTGCCATAATTCAGACTTTGAATAAGAAAGATCTTCAGTTCGTGAATAAATAGAACTTCCACTGCCTAGTCGATGTCGAGGTACATTTTTGTGAGATGTATCTGAATTACCGACACTTCCCTCTGAGCTACTTTCTCTTGAAGTTTCTTTCAACTGTGATACGGAGCTACTTTCCTTACTTTTCAGTTCACTTGTCTGTGTCCTTTGGTCCAATGACACACCAGGATCAGAGTCCGTTTGCCGATCATCACAAGGTTCATTCTCAGGCGTTGACTCCGATGATCCTTTAAGAGCAAAACTTTCATAACCACTACTTTCACCGATGGACGGTAAACTGTGATAATTTGGCGCAACATTTGTGACACAACTGTTGCTGGTGTTATTACTGTCTATGTCATCAGAATTACTGCAGGGTTCACTTTCCATTATTGCAGACATCACATCACATTTTTTTCTGGTAAGTTCAGATTGTGATTTCTGTTCCTCTTCAATGGATGACTTGCCTACATCCACAAAAGAGGGCACAGAATTATCAGCATAATCCCCATCGCACTTTTCTGTCATGTTTATACTCTCTGAACCCTCTTTCTCAGGTACTGGAAGAACTGATTCCATTTTAAGCCCTTTAATTCCTTTATTATTATCTAAGTCCTCTGTATTTACACTTTCTTCACAACACTGACTTTGGTTATTATCACAGTTCCTGTTCTCTTTCTTTGCACTTAACGCGTCGTGGGGCGGATTCTCTCCATCATATGGATAGGTCCAGTTTACACAGGCAATAGCGCATTCTTTGATCCTTCTCCTTGCATCACAAAGATAGGCATGGTAATTTCCATACAAGCTTTCACCTTTCAGACCATAGAGTGTGCTAGTGGACGGCAGGGATACTGGCTGATATTCAGAAAACGACATACTACGTCTGTGATGGGCGGATGGGGTAAGCATGGCTGGCAGAGAAGGGCTGGGAGAGATGAGAGAATGCGGGCTATAGTCTGGAGCAACCGAGGGACGGACAGTAGGAACTGATAAGTTGCAACATGCTGGAGACAAGGAGAGGAACTTGTCTGAACTATGACAATATGGGTCAATATCACGAACTCTTTTCCTTTGCGACAACATCACATGGGTGCATGGCACTAGATGACGGAAAACTAGCTCCAACATGACATCTTCACAATTCAGGTCCACTAGGGTCTTGAATAATGCCAAGGTCACCAAACATAACTGCAGGAAATAACACACAAACCTTATTTAGTATAAAAGTTTAACTTCATTCCAATATTTAAGACCAGTAGTAAAGACCATTATGACTTCAAGTAAAGGTGAAATATTATTTATGTAACAGCTGTGTAACAGTGTGCTGGGTTCACAAACTCATCAAGTGGAAGTGACACTAGTAACACACATTATGCTGTTGTTTTTTAAGAATGTGAAACAACATGGTACCTGTATAAAGTTTTCATTTAGCTTTTAGTATTACATTGATAAATAAAGGAGAATTTGTAGCTACAAAGATACAACTTTGTATGAAAATAGATAATAGACACTCAAATTATACATGAAATACAATTTTTAAATAAACAGCCATAAGTATGGCAATGGTGTAAAAATTAGGGTTAAATGTGACAAATTTCATGTAGACAGAATCTGTATACTTAAGCATTAAATTCATCCTAAAAAGTAAACATCAATGTTACTATGACAACTACTACTGCTGCTGCTGTTGCTACTACTACTAACAACAACAATAACAATAACAACATCATCATAATTTATGACTACAAATAAAGAATTTTTCGAAGCAAGGAAGATTCAATCCTATGACCAACCATGCAGCAGCCCAGCATACTACCCTATGAGTTAAATATAAAATTAACATCACAAGAATTGTAGGACTGAAAGTCAATGCAATATAAATGTAAGCTTTATGTATAAGATCTGTCCAAAATTTCTTGTTATGTAGTTGAGAATTTACAGTTGCTAGACTCATCCATCAGTAAAACAAATGAATGTATTATAAGCACACCAAAGCTGGTTTCAAATTGGAAGTAACTAGCAGTCCTTCATGTTAAAATGCAATCATGACATTATGTAAAACTACAAAACAAACATCAACCATGTCATTCACTAGCAGCCATGATTTTAATAATCATTACTTGGGCTTTTCTTAAAGCATATTACTAAAATTACATATTTATTTTGAATCTTATGAATATGTGTTTCTCCTCAGAAATTTTCTATCACCATGACACCACAATGCAATTACTTCATGAATTAAATAATTTCCAAGCAACAATAGATATAGAATGACTTGCAGCAGAAGATGGTTATAATCACAGAGCAACTAGATCAACAACTGACTTAATGGAGAGAGGACTTTATGCATATAACCACAGAATTATGATCCTATTAGTTCCTTTCAGATTCAATTACCCGTGATTTGGTGTTAATCCTTTGGATAAGGCTGTCAACGATCCTCTCACCATCATATTTATGACAAATGAATAAAGAAGACCTGGTTCTGTTACACTTCGCAGGAACAGATCAAAGTATGCAGTGGCAGCTACCAGTTCTTCCACAGTACTCTGAAATTATATCATGCAGAATTGCATACTAGATGCTAGTTATAAAATTTATTACAGAAAAAAGTACTTCAATTCATGAAACTGAAGTACTAGTAAATGTAACAAACTGCAAAACCTGAGCTCAATAAACATTTTTTAAGCAAAATGTAAACAGTAACAAGAAAATTAAAATTCAGTATATTCTGTTTCTGGCGCAACAACCCGAGCCAAGCCTTGGCCTCTTCCCACGTGGGAGTCTTCTTTGTCTTTGAAGTGTGCATTTATGAGTAATGAGTGACAAGCCCTCTGCATCTGCACAATTTCTACTCAATCCTGATTTGTCTGCTAGAGCCATCTAGTAGTGAATCAGGAGAGACTTTGGTGAGAAATGGCCGCTGAATTTTGCTCACAAAACATCTCATTCACGCTCGTAAGGTTCTTTTACAGGCTGTAAATATACATGGGACCACCGGCTTTACTTCCCCTAGTAAAATATGAAGTTATGCTACAGATTTTTATCACCCTTCAAAATTCATCGACCTCGGCCGGGTTTGAACCCACGAACATTGGGTTCAGCGGCGAGCATGCTAACCACTAGTCCACCGAGGGCAACAAAATTCAGTATATTGTAAATTATAATTATACATATAAAAGTAAAAATACCATATTTCCTTGATTTCAAGACCCCATCAACTGTAAGGTTCACCCTTGGTTTAGTAGGAGACTTTTAGGGAAAAAGATGCTATATCAATTCCTTTGAAACTCAAAACCTCTTGTTTAGAGTCCAATTTTGAATCACTATGGCATTCTAAGCAACATGATAACAACTGTGGAAAAATTTTCCAGAAAATGATTTACAGGTACAGCAAAAATGGAATGCATACATATAGTCAGAAGACCATGCCTACTAAATATAACTGCTGCCTGAGTAAAGAAGTATTATATAAGTTCAAATATCGTAACTCAAATATGAATGTTGGGCCTATATTCCCTGTTACCTGTAATTTAGTAACATTTATACAACATCCTAAAGTTCATGTCTAACCTGAATGATCATATTTATACATAATTTTACCAAATCAAAAAAGCTGATTTCCATAAAGTTTAGGACTTTTACTCACTCACATACTCACTGTAACACATATAGTATAATATAAATTTGATTATCTAATTGTCAGAACTCATACTTGCTGAAATAAAAATTAATAATTGAACACACCTCACGGTCATTGTATACAATTAATGACACACTTGTAAATTTAAATGACACCACAAGTAAATGCATTAAATTAAAATTCTGTAGATATGAACAAATATGCAAAGCATTTCATACACCTTTTCATTAGGTTAGGTTAGAAAAAAAGTATTCTGTATAAGTAGGATTTGAGGTTTTCATGACAGTGAGTCCAAAGATGGTTATCTTCTGGGTTGTAGTACTATGTAGTCTGGTAGAATTTTAACAATGTTTCAGAGGTCCTCGCTGCCTCCATCATCAGGGCAATGATTCATCGCCCTGATGATGCAGGCAGCCAGGACCTCTGAAACATATCTGACACATTGTATTGGAGTGTCATGTTGTGGAATTATTAAATAATTATCTCCATAGAACAATATTTGTAAATTTATGCACTATGCACTCATATATCACATTTTCATGTTTATTTTGCATGGTGACATATTTCAGACATGTTAGTCATATCCGAGATGAAAATCACAACAAAAATTTTATGCCCTTGGATACAACTGACATATGTCAGAGTGTTAATTACTACTTCATCCACATCTATTAATCATGCCAACTACTTTATAAGCATTAATACACACAAGTTGAAACATTCATGCAGAGTGTACACATAAAAATTACAAGAGCAAATTATATATTCAAACAAGCAGTAGATCACTATAATATAAACATCATTTACACAAGGAACACATAAGAAATTATTCAACAGTAATCACACTAGATTATCCTGACACCAAAACACAGCAATAGTGTTTTAATATTTACTGTGATAGAATCGGAGATTTAAACCCCTACAGTACGAGGCTGTGGCCACTCTTTAACTCTGGGGTTAATGGTTTCGAGGTATGCTAAAGAGACGCAAAGCCAGCCGGACCACATGTTAACATGCAATGGACATTCAGCAACGTTTAAAAGAATTTTTACCATTTACATTTACAAAGCATGTTCCAACTTTATTATAAAACCATAATCTGGCACTTTTCAAATGTTACAGTATGTTAAATGTCATCCACCAGGAACAAAAAGAGTTGAATATCGCATAAACAATACTTCATACAGTCCACGACTGTAATCTTTAGACTTGCGGGGTGAGGAAGTGTGGTGAAGGAGAAAAGATACTGTCTGCCTTTAACGCTACGGACTTCCTGCATTCCTTGCAAGTCTCAAGATTACAGTTGTGGACTATAAAATATAATATTATCATCATTCTGTAAGAACCTTCCTTATGTGCGGAAAAGAACACTTTCAGTCCCTCCTGACTTCTAGATGACACTCAGGAAAGAGAAGTTGTGTTTTTTATGTAATGAGACAGAAATTACTGATTTTTATACTTCACCTGATAATCATTATCACAAAAGTGATTGAAATTTCACAGTGCAGTGAAAAAAATATAAAATGGTCTCTAAGTTTTATACATAAAACCTCAATGTTATCTTCTTTTCAGAACCAATGTGCAGGTTTGTACAACTGTAAGACATTCCATGCATCAAAGGAATGTTAGTTAAACAGAACAGAAACCAGTAGCAATGCAACCAAATGTTAGTGACAGCATAAAGATTAAACCATGACGTGTTGATGTACTGACCGCTTCTTGTGGTGAATCTAAGCGATCAAGAGAAAGTCCCACAGAGTCCTATAAACGAATGCAGCAGGGACGGGCGTATCGAACGAGGCAACAAGGAGGAGCGAGAACACACACCACATTTAGCTAGCAACCACCATATTAAGTTATATTTCATGTAAACAAACCCTTGAAGTAAGATAAGTCAAATCTAAACAATATTTTCAGCAGTCCCAAAGAACATGACAAATAAATTTATTCATGAACCAGATTTTAAACTTAAGTACACATTTTATGAACCTTGTTGTGTGTCTGCATGAGACAAGTCAAGAAGGGTCTTATAAAACAATAATAATGGTGACACAAAAAACTTCTTTCATGAACATAATGCACTCAACTATCTTCAAGTTGCTGGACACCTTCTTTCTTACCTAACATTCTTAACATACCATGGCAGAAGGCATTAAACTCTCTCTGTTCAAAAAATTCTTGTATCTTACATTTATCAAGCTAAAATGCAGAGTTCGGAATATTTTAATTTCATATGGCTGTGCATATATTAAAAGAGAGTATGGTGCTTTACAAACTGAAAACAATTTGTTTTATTAAGTGCAGATAAATTTTCTCAATTCACACTCTTTTTATTGATATACTGTAATATAAATTTGCACCAACCCATATTCCAAAATGAGTAATATGTGCAGGAGGTTCATCAAGTGCAAACGACAGTTTGTTGAACTGCAAATGCACATCCCTCTGTAACTGATGGAGTTGTAAAGTATAAGTAAAGCCGTCCCACTATACGCCATGTAAGCGTTTGCTGGGAGCGATGGTATAGATCCTACTCATTCCTAACCTTGGCACTAGACGTGGGTGAGTGGTCAGCGTCACGCCGGGCCATGCTTTACCCCTGGAAAAGGACCCCGGTACCCATTGGATAGGAGGTTGGGTGGGCCCCAGAGCCGGTCTAGACGCAGAGGCTAGAGGAAAAATCCTCTGCCCTCGTCGAGGATTGAACCCTGGTCGCCCAGTTCACAGCCAGTCACTATACTGACTGAGCTATGCCAGCTCATACTGATGCAATTGATTCATCAAAAAATGCAAACAAGAGGCCCTCAAGGGTCCAGGCAGTAGCATACATGACTCATCACTGCTTAAGGTTTCAATATTTCACCAACAAAGTGGATTCCACCATACGATTATAGAAACTCTGGCTTGATTGTAAGAGTAGAATATGATCCTTGTATTTAATGCATGCAATTAAGAATAACCCTGTTTAACTAACTAACTAGCAGGCTTAGGGAACCCGAAGGTTCATCACCGAATTAACCAAAGCCCTCCACCGGACCCAGTATATGAAACAAATGTTAGGAAATTCTAAAAAAAATACAGATTTTACAATAATCAGCCTTCAAATTGATGCTATGCACTATATTTAGATTCCAGAGGTTGATAATTCCACATATCTGTCTTTATATGCATACAAACCAAAGAATAAGACTTTGTAACTATACCATAAAATATTTCTCCCAGTTTCTAAACAAAGAATTATCATACGCTCAATTAATATATTGTAAATCTGAAGTCTCTGAGAAATTGACAACGTTATTGATAATTCTAACAACACTAGAAAGCCTTTCTTATTTCCATGACAATGAATATCCAAGTTATAAAATTTGCAGCAAACTGAACACCAAGCAGGAAGCAACAGCAAGATTGTACCTTCATGGATTCAGAATTAATAACAATTAATACACACAATCTGAGTTTAGTCAGACCACTGGTTCTCTGATATAATTAATGATCTTGGTCGAAAATATGTAACATTTTATTAATAACACCATCTTACCAACTGTTTGAGCCCTTTACCTTCAATTAGTTAATTTTAATAAATAAATACACACAACTTTTTTGACGCAAGTATGGAATATTTTGAAACTGTGACAATGGTTAATTAATTATACTGGTACCAACATTACATTGTATACTGTCCATTGTCTGATGTATATTTGATAGGCATGATGCTTCAGGAGTTGACTCTGCCTACCTTCCAATGATTGCTTGTCGCAGATTTGGTTATTTATTATTTTTTACTTTAAGATTAGTGTTGACAGTTGGGATTAAACTCAGGACCTTCTGAACATAGGGCTAGTCTAGTCTGTCAATAAAGTAACAATCATCTGAAGAGAAGCATACAGCAACCTCCTGATATGGTACGTACATCAAATATACCTCAGATAATTGAGTGTCCAATGTAATTTTTATATATATATAAAAAAAATTGGTATTATTATTTAATTGTGAGTGAATGGAAACAGCTACAGGCGTATGACAACTCAGTTCAAAGCTGATGTCACCCTGTCAGAAAATATGAACATTTTGTGATCAGGCAGGATAACAGCATGATTAATGAATAATAAATTGGAAAAGATATGGAAGGAAGCTGCCATGGGCACTATCCCAGCATCTGCCTGAAGCAACTGAGGAAATGCACAGAAATACGAAGTCAGGACAGCTGTTCTCTGGGCTGAGATTTGAACTCAGAATCTTCTGAATGCAGATCAGGCAACGATATTTGACAGGAACTGATAAGAAAATAGTTACTTACTTTCAAAAACTTCTGTACAGTCATGGGAAACATTTTTATTACTCAATATATTATGATGTACACCCCAATAAAAACCCCTATCAATTTTAAAAGTAATGAATTTAACAAATCATGGCATATATATTTCAGTACAGTAAATATTTAAATGTAACAACTTCCGGATATTAAATAAAATGGTACACAGCTAGAATTCTTTAGTTGTATTTAAACAACATTTCTGCATCAACTTCAAACAGCATGTAAATTTAAAAAATATCATGCAGACCAAAAGTAAAGTAACATATTTCAGTGATTAATTATTACTTACCACCTAGCAGCAGTTTGTATGGATTTTATTTTTTACTACAATTAATAAGAAATGGTAAATAGCATAACCCACTAGAAAAAAGGCTATATTACTACTCAAAGAAATAGGAATATTCAGGGATAAGATAAGGAAAAGCGGATGTATAAGCAAACTGAACCCAAAAATTAAGCGCTTCCCAAGGCATGTAAATGTTGGTGTTTCAATTACTGATAAAAAGAATAATTTCAATTTTTTTAATAAGAGAAATTTTATGTATACAATATACTGAAAGGTCTACAATATCCTTCAAGACCACCAGACTCCATCAAACTTCTAGTCTTGCTTGTCTTCTTTGATAATGCCAAATTATGCAAGTTTCACTGAGTGTAATTCAAAGTAAATAAGCATAAATAACTAAATTTTACAAAGACACACACATACAGCAATAATTCCATTTCATAATAAACATTACACTGACAAAATTAATAAAATAAAACAGTCAAAGGTATGTGTTCTGGCTCAAATCTAAAATAGCACTGGATTCTGGGATGCTTGATACAGGGTCCAACATAATTGAACAAGTCAATAAAAATATTTCTCTCCTTTGCAATACACAACCACATAGGAAAATTTTGCTAACAGCAATCAAAATCACAATCTACCAATTCAAACAGAATGTACAAAAAGCATTAAATTAAAGACACTTTTTGCCATGACCAATGCATGGATAGCACTGTCTACTGTTATTCTCATACCAAACACATGATGAACGGTAACTTACATATTTGTTCTGTAAAGTTATGTAACATAAAATAATTATAAAATATTCAGACATGACTTTAGCCCATTATCTTCAAGGGTTTATATACATGTGTAACATTTCTCAAACATCAAAAGTATCAAAAGTACATAAACTTACAATTTATGCTTATAATAAAGTATAATACTAATAACAAAAACCCTGAACCTTCCAAGATGCATGTAAGCAAACTGAATGAAGCTAGTGCAATATGCTGTACATAAATAAGTAAATATATAATATGAAACTTGAACCTACACATTACTTTTATACAATATACACACAAAATATGTACAGTAGGTGGGGCAAATCTGTGCATTTCATGACCATTAGAATCACAAGGGTGGGAGGGGCAGCAGATAAGGAAGCATATACGGTCCACACTAAACATTATTTCCCAGAGGCAGTACTTTGTAGTTCACTGACTTGGTTCCTATCTCGATAATGTCTTTGGTTTTCTGAGTACAGTGAAACCTCGATGCATAATTTTTGACACGGGAGAGAAATAAAAACGATGAATACAGGAAACCGACAGTTGCGGGAAAGCATTAAAAATGAGAAAAAATTAAAATAGTGCATTTTTCTCTTTGGCATACACAAAACAATACACACAAAACCTATTTCAAAGTTATTTATTTTTGCCAAAAAGTCTTTAATAGATAACTTTACGTTTTAGGCGAAACAGAGTCTTTTCCATGTTCAAAGAGTTTTCCTCATCATCTTCACAAATATTGTGCGCATAAAAGAACGAATTAACTTTTACATCAATCCAGCATGTGCGTCGGCAAAACTCTGCCCATCTTCAGGCTTGCATTCGTCTTCTTCTCCTTCCACACTGCTTCTGCTCCTTTTGCGATCGTCTCACAACTCATCAATAGTATTGACTCTGCATGTGGCAAGCTCGCTGCACATATTTCAATATTGATCTATCTCTAAAGCAACCATTTTAAATTCAAAAAAACATTGCGTAAATTTCGTTATAATTTCTCATCAACGATCAGTGCTGGAAAATTGTGGGCCAGGACTAAGGTTTTTGAAGGGTTGATGTGATAAAACGATAGTTTGAGGAACGCTAGAAGCGAGAAACTGTAACATTATTTTATATGGAACTTATCAGGGACCAAACAAACCAGACTATGCATCTGGGAAAATGACAGTTCGGGGAACGATGGATAGAGGTTTCACTGTATATTAATTTCTTTTCACTCTACCCACAAGCTAGCGATGTAGGCAAAACACATAGTTTAGTCCCAGCTACTGTACATGAAAATAATCTCAGTAAATCAGCCATTATTATTTGCAACTGAATGATAAAAAGCTCTGAGCATGTCCATAAATTATGTCTATTTACTGATTACATAACATTAGAGGTGGACAAATTGGTATGTATAAAAGAGGTTATACGGCAAGCCCAGGGGAAAACGCGGAGTAACAGAGTAAAACCCCAGAGACAACAGGAAAATAAGAGACTGACAAATGACGTGGAGAAGCCGCAATGTACGGAGTTTTAAAAGGGAAGTCACGGCATGAGGATTCCAATACCTAGCATGAATCCTGAAACAGTAGAGTGCTGAAATTGCTGAGGCTAGCACTGAGAAAGAACATGTGTCTGATCAAGTTACTGTGATATCATAAAAGACAGTCAATGGAAACAGCCAAGTGTGTCGCCAGTCAATCCTGTAACATTATGTAAGGAAGATGTTTACTGTTACAGATGGATAGGTGCTAAAATAAATAAAGAGGCCAAAAAGTTATTTTCAAAAGCAGAGGGGAGTAACAGGCGGAAACACACACTAATGAGATTTATGTATGGAATAAAGGGTGTACAAAAGAAATTAGGAAGTTCAAGTTGAAACTAGGGCAAAGCCTCAGTAAACAATGGAAAAGGAGGAGTGGGAGCCTTGGTCAAGGCATGAACAGGCAAAGAAAGAGTCCAAAAGATGAAGAACCGTTACACTTAGTTTATACCAGTCAGGACTAAAAGGGAGATTTTTGAAGCAACAAATTAGAAGATTTGGAAAAAAGTAATGTGTCGTCAGAACAGAAAAGTCAGCAAAGGAAAGGAAATTGAGCATGATTTGAACCCAGGACTGTTAATAAGAGAGAGACAAATAATGTGGCTGACAGTGGCTCAAGACCTGGGTAGTTAAATGTACCAACAGATGAGGGGACTAGCCAATAAAAATGTAGACCAAGGAAAGGAGTTTAATTATATGCAGATCAAGTAGGCATAAGAATGGGAAAGTAATTTGACTGACAGACATATAAAAATCAGAGAACAAAGCCTGCTCTGTTTCACAAGCCATCTCAGTCTCAATGAACCCAGTTTGAACAGGAATATGCAGTTTGATCCAGCAGTTTTGTTGTAGTTTATAAAGATTAGACATTACTTGTTATTTGAGTCAGAATATGCCATTTCTAAGATTTAAGGGTGCCTTTATTTGTTAATGGCTAAAACTCAGATCAAGTACAGAAGTGAGAAAAGAGAAGAAAACAAATACAATGAGTAAACATTAAAGGATACAGGGGATCAAGTTAAGTTTGTAAATACATAGTAAAGGAAGTAAACCAAAGTGTAATAGCCAGACCCTGAAAATCCCTTCAGACAAGAGCAATATAAAACCTCCCTTAAAACACATTATACAAAGAGCACAGAATAGACCTGACCAGGTAGAATGTTCTATAAGAACTAGAAAATTAATATAACAAGCAGAAGAGGTCGCATAGTTAAAAAAGTGTTTTATCATCATGTAACCTGTAAATACAAAGTTTCTGACATAAATAATGGACATACCCATTCTAATGTTGTGCCTCAAATATACTGATCACTAGCAACACAAAGAGCAAAGGTAAAATAATTTTACTTTACCTGTAAGAGTGCAGGTCCCATAACTGGGACAAGAAATCCCTGGTACAGAAATTCCAGCATTTGCCTCTTTACAACAGGATGCGCAACTTGAACAACAGCATTGCAGAATTCCAATGAGTTCATGAATACTGTCAGCTCCGTGATGTCATTCACATCATCTGGAGTAAGACAATACCAGTCCTCAGTCTCAATCACTAGTTTGCGTGGGAGCAGTGAGTACAGTCCACTCAGTCCTGTTGCAAGCACCTATAAAGTAAAGAAAATAAGCATTTGCAAGTTAAAAAGAAGGTCCTGGAAAATCCTAATCATTTACAATCCTGCAGAGAGGGTGAGATCCAACGATGTAAAGGATGCTTCCCATATTTATATAAAATTTCTATCATGCACTGTCCATGTGCTGAAAATTCTATAATCTGAAGATTTCTGTCATCCGGGTTGTTGCGCCATGTCGTCTGGTAGATGTCCACCGATGTTTCAGAGGTCCATCCTACCTCCATCATCAGGGTGATGATGATGGAGGCAGCAAAGACCTCTGATAAGTTGGTAAACTTCTACCAGACTACACGGCACAACCCAAAAGACAGAAATATTCATCTTTCAACTAGCCCCCAATGAGGTAGTCTCCTAGAAACTAGGCAATACCAGGGTAACCTACGATGCAAAATAATCAGAGGCCGTCACTACCAGATTTCTTACCTATAGAGACGGGCCCCCCGCCCCACAATTTGACTCTTTCCTCCCCAAGCCTTACCCCCTCAGGCCTCCAAACCCTTGTTTCCCACAGCTCTGCACACCTTAGAATTATTTTCCCACCTGGGCTATACACAGTACAGCTCCCCACCACACTTACTTCTCACGGTTTATCCTCCTGTGACTGCCCACCTCTGGGCTTCCTCTCTCCAGTTCCTTACCTTACCAGGATAAAAAAATTAATATTTTTGCTCTCAATGAGATTGGACACACCTCAGTTTCCAACATTTCAGGTTAGACCACACAGGGCCTGTATCCCTGAGAAAGACCAACATGGGATTCTGCCACCTCCTTGGCTTGCACCCTCTTGGGATACCTGTGGGCTCCCCCCCTCACAGGCTTCTTCCCAACCAGGACTTCCACACCCCCACGCTTTACCAATAAAGCTTTTCCCCAGCGCATTTGTACAATTAGCCACTTAGCTGCTTCCACTTGTTCCTCCCAAAGCTTTGTCAACCAAACTTAATTTCATACTTTAAATCAACCCAGGCTTCTCCCAAGATTTGACTTCCTGACATTTGTCTGTCTGTCACATCATTGTGCTGCAATGTATAAGTGGGCCAAAAAACAACACGTTCCACCATACAACTCAAGCAAGGCTGATGGGATGTTCACGAAATTTTGCATGGAATTTATACCAACAGAGGCTGTTCCAAATATGTACCTCTTAAATTCCTATGATCAGTAACACCAACATGATGGATACTTAATTAAAGTCATTAGGTCGGAGAATGATCCTCCACAAACACACCATTACTATGATGTCATTTATCAGTGCTGCTATCTATAAGTGATCATACAAATTATCTGTGCTTCAATGTATCAGTGTTCATTAACCTATAAATATATCAGTATTACATCTTAATAAATAAAAAGTGTAATTATGGAAAATGGATGGTTGTTTTTAATATTAACTGCTATTGTTATAAAGGATTAAAGAGACAATGTTAAGTAAGGCATAGCTTAAAGAATACCCATGAAATTAATTAAATAAAATAAAATTCAAGAGTGCTCACTCTTGTAATGATAATTAAAGTGAACTTTTTCAGTCTTAAATAACATGCACATTCCTTGTAATTCAGAATATTTTACTTTAATAATCAATACAAAATGTAATACCAAATTGTAGGTACTTTTATAACCTTCAATTACATTAATTTCATACCTCTACCATAATAATAACCATAATAGATACGCAAATATAAAAAACAAAATTACTTGATAGTTAGCAGGTTATCATGTAACTATTTCTCATTTTATGACATACTAAAACCTTAAAGCTGGAAGACCACCAATAACATTATCTATTACAGAATCTAACAAAAATCAGCCAATCAATTATGATTAACGTAATTACGAAAGGGCCAAATTGTTCACGAATTCATGCACAAATACATGTAATAAGATTATTGATAGGAGAAGTAGTGCAGACAGGTAAACAGAGGGAATGGAATTTCAACGATAAAAATCTAATTTCACAAACACTAGCCTTTGTTCTATCATGTTTAAGCCTCTTCACATTCAATAAATAACAAACATGATATCAGAGTACAAACACACACAATCTATAGATTTCTTATCTTTTTTGTCAGAGAATTGCATGCCACATTTTTAGCTGGATACAATGAACACAGCTATAAGAGCAGTCACCTATAATTTTTATCAAAAATAACATTATAGACTTCCACAGACACATCTTAATAAAAAAATCACAAATATGCCTTTATCTGATAACAATAAACTGCTGTGAATCTTCACAACAGATTTTGGGTTATACTGTCACTGCTATATATATATATATATATATATATCTGAGTCACATAAATAAAGCTTTAAAGCCAAAGTTCATCTAATTAACATATAATATTTCAGTCTGTACCACAAAGAAAACACCATAATTCTCTGTGACTTTTCAGAGGTACTTGCTACCTCTATCATCATTGCCCTGATGATGGAGGCAGCAAGCACCTTTAAAATGTCAGCAAAGTTCTACCTGACTACATGGCATAACAACCCACAAGACAGCCATCTGCAAGGTTATTATTTATGTCCCAAGAAAGCCTTACATTCATCATTTGAAAGTAATAAAATACTAGTAAAATTATTTCTTGGTATGACAAAGACCTGTGACAATATAACTACTTTTCTCAATTAATGATAATTATACAGTGTGATAGCAGCATATAAATGAAAATATTGATACACGTTATTTTCCCCTAACTCAATTGTATGTTTGAAGCATACAAAAAATAAGCAAGATTGATCAGAGGTCTCACATTTCTTGCCTTGGTTCCCTTCAGTTCTAGAAGTCCCCACAGTATAAAAGCATGAATCAGTTGTGTGGTACAGCACTTGACAGTAGAAAAAAAAATGCCAATGAAAGAACTGTGGTTGTTTATCTTGCCACACCATGACTTTTAATCATAAAAATGGCAATATAAAACTTAAATTTTAACATTTTAGAGCATATCAAACACTTCTCTTAAAAAATAGTCCTGCTTAAGTTACTGAAAAATAAAATACTATTATTGCTACCATTACTACTACAAATCACAAAGGCAACAACAAACAATAACCTGTAACATATTAACAAATGCAAGCAAAAGATGCATTGTAACTAAGAATTTTATCCTATGACCATGTACATACAAACTCAGCACAATAACTTATCAGCTACACTGCATTTTAAATGCATATTATGTAAATATAACATTAATAACACAATTTGTAAGATTCAAAGTTTGTGCAATTGGATAGCTGGCTTTATGCTAAGGATTCCTCATTTCCTTCTGGAAACGAGCCTAGTAAGAGGTAATGATATGTACTGTTATACTCACTGGGCAAACATTAGAGTGCTCTGCAATGTAGGACCCCACACTCTCATTCTTTTTGGACAGAGACATACAGAGCAGCAAAGCGTCTCGAGCCTGCTGCCCAATGTCACCCTCTCGGTGAACAAAACAAATCAGGAGCGTGAAGATTACAAATCTGCAACCACAAGAAATGGTTTATATATTGTAGGGTACTATAGCTATAGAAGAATTACCACCTAGCTGCTTTTAACTTTAAACTTGGTAAGTATGCAAACTAATTTCAAGTATTGCAACGACGGAAAGAACAAATCCACGTGGTGTGTGGGGAAATGGCCATTGCTTTGTCCGCTGTGTTGCACCTGCTTATACAATACATACAGTAATTTTTCTTTGTATCCTTTTCCTACCTGATAATGTCTTCATATTAAAAAACTACACCTGCACCTACCACTGAAAGTGAAAGCCATGATGTATAAAGTGAAGCTTTCGTGGCGACCAAGTTGATGAAAGACTCATGGGTAACAAGCCGCATCAGGTGGCTGAATGGTGAATGAACCATTTCTTCTACCAACGTTTCAAGAGCTACATAAGACCAGTCTCGAGTTGCAGGTGCCCTGAGGATGAGAGCAGAGATGGCTCTCGAAATGTTTGTGGAAGAAATGGTTCATTCACCATTCAGCCACCTGACATGGCTTGTTACCCGAGTCTTTCATTGAAAGCCATGATATTATAAGCATACACTTTTTTGGTTTTCAGTCAAAAAAGGTCAATTGGAAATTTGAAATAAAAACAAAACTAAAAATACATAAGCCCCATTCTAAACAAAGTGAACTTGGCTTTGCAGGTGCCCTGAGGATGAGAGCAGAGATGGCTCTCGAAATGTTTGTGGAAGAAATGGTTCATTCACCATTCAGCCACCTGACATGGCTTGTTACCCGAGTCTTTCATTGAAAGCCATGATATTATAAGCATACACTTTTTTGGTTTTCAGTCAAAAAAGGTCAACTGGAAATTTGAAATAAAAACAAAACTAAAAATACGTAAGCCCCATTCTAAACAAACTGAACTTGGCTTTGATTTTTGTATAATTAGATTGACATTTCACAGTTTTTATGCTGTGTAGAAAGAAGTTCTGACATTAGAAAAACGTATTACTGACTTTGAAAGGCTAAATCAAATTTCCCAGAGGCAAGGAGTTTCTGTGAAAAAGATTTGGTTTTGAATGTGAAAATATACAAATAAGAGGTCCTTCTTAATGGACAGCATTAATACTGTGGCATGGAGGGCAACCCTTGTGAGAAGAATAAAAAATGATGAAATAGGCTCAAAAAAAACTGCACAAAATGCTGATTCACCTGATGTATACAGTAAGTGTTTAGCAAGAAAGTAAAACAGATGGTGTTATGAAGAACTATAAAGCTCATCAGTGGATAATTGTACATGCTGGTTCATACAGGGGGTTTGTTCCAGGAACATGCTTGGCTTGTACGGTCTCCTAAAAATTGGCTGTGCCTTATAGCGTAATATAATTATAAAAATGTTTTTGGATCTTGTGGCAGTGACACAGTTAGGCTGCCCTCTTACTGCATTGAATCCCAGTTGTCTTTAAGTGAGATTCATGGTCTCAGTTTTCATACCATTCTGTATGATACGATGCACAAAATCATACTATTTCATGTATCATATGATATCATATATCACACACCATCATCAGGTATATGCAAGGTAGAGGACAGACAATAAATCAAACTCCGGTATTAAAATAGTATTAATACTATGTAGGATTTGAGATTTTCACGGCAGTGAGCCTGAAGATGGCTGTCTTCTGGGTTGTTGCGCCGTGTAGTCTGGTAGAAGTTTACCGATGTTTCAGAGGTCCTTGCTGCCTCTGAAATGTCAGCAAACTTCTACCAGACTACACGGCGCAACAACCCAGAAGACAGCCCTCTTCAGTATTAATACTAACTATTTGTGGGTTCTCATCTTGGACCTGAATTAATGAATTGTCTCAAGTGGTAAAAATTACATCAGTCGGTATATTTTCACTCACTTGGCTGGACCCTGATCTGGAGAGGCATAAAAAAAGAGGTCAAGGAGCTCGATATTTTGCATCAGCGACACGCACAGCTGGTTGAGCAACACGACAAGTTTCTTCTCCACTTCCACAGGAAAAACCTCACCAGTACATGAAGAGAGTAGTCTAAGTAAAGGGCGGACAAATGGTTCATGGACTAGCAGCTGGTGACGAGAATGACTGACCAGCAGCTCATACAACTTGAGCTGCTCCAAACGGATGGCATTTCCATATCTGAAGAACAAAGTACACTATCATTAAACTGAAAATTAGCTTTATACATTTATTAAAACTGGACAAAACAACTGCACATATCTCAGTATAAATGTGTGTGTGTGCATGCGCATGCGTAGATGCATGTGTGTGCAAATATGTAAATTCATGACTGACAACTGCAAAACAAACTCTATGAGCTATGTATGGATGTCTGCTCAGATGTCATGCCATGTAGTTTGGCCAACATTTCAGAGGAGCTTACTACCTCCATCATCAGGGCAATAAGTGCCTCTGAAACATCACCCAATATCTCTCAGACTACATGGCACAACATCCCTGAATAGAAACATCTTCATACTTATTTCCATGAGAACCTGAAATCTCACCAAAATTTATAAGTTGTGTACACAACTTTAGATGTTATATGGAGCCAGGGTAGCTCAGTCAGTACAGTGACTGGCTACGGACTGAACGACCAGGGTTCGATCCCTGACGGGGGCAGGGGATTTTTCCTCTAATCCCAGCCTCCTATCCAATGAGTACCGGGGTCCTTTTCCAGAGGTAAAGCGTGGCCGGGGCATGACGCTAACCACTCACCCTCATTAGTGTTGAAGTTAAGAATGAGTAGGAGCTATACCTCCTCTCCACCCCAAGCGTCTACATGGCGTACAGAGAGATAGCTTTACTTTTACTTTTTTAGATGTTACATATACTTAAATCTGTGGACATGCATATGCTTAATTTGTACTCAAGTGAGTTATTCATAAGGTTGGAAACAATCACCAAATTGAGGGAACCACTTGTGAGAATACATTAACATACTTTCCAGTGTGAATGCTCCATGCAAACAGCTTGTCTAACAGATTCTCACTGAGCAGAAAATCCAAACAAGGGCAAGACTGGCAGTTTTCATTGCTTGGACTGTTTCCAGCTGTTCTTAACTCTAGTAACAGAAATGTCACCATGTGTTCCAAATGGTTGACAACGCCTAGCACATCATCCTGAATAGGATAACCATTAGGTACCTGTAAGTAAAAATTGCAATTAAATATAACCACCTGCTATTAGGTTGATCAAACAGACAGCATGTGAGAATGTGGGATGAATTAATCTGGCTCAGGATAGGGAATAGTGGCAGGGTATTGTGAACATGGTTATGAACCTTCACATTTCCTGACCAACTTTACTGATATTAAGTTCTCAACAAGGACTCCAATTAGTTTTAAACCATGATATCTTTGTGTGTGTTCACCAAACTTTACAAACACAAGAAGGGAAAAAGACAATCCATACATAAATCCCATCTAAATTCCAATGGCAATCACTTCAGAGTTACTATCACATTTATACAAAAATTTGCCTTTCCATGCGATTTTAATATTGTTTCATAAATTGCATATGCTGCATGAAAGCAGAACTCCGACAGTTAATGTCATCTATCAACAGTAGTACCATAATGTAAGGATAAATTTAAGTTCCCAATACCAATGCAGTAAAACGAAAGTCTAAAACCGAAAAAAAAACCCACACATTTATACAAGAAAACCCCAACTTTTGGATAACCTGTCACCAAATTCAGAATTTCATGCTTGCTAAAATCAACATTCCTAAACCTAACTCATTCAACCATGTTATAAAAATACCAAACATGATACCTGTTTCCCACCACAACACTTACTAATGTGACACCTCTCCAACCCTATAAGAAGCCATTTAGTCACTTTTGTGACAAATTTTAAATAAAAATGGATATGTCTGGATAATAACTAGTGATGTAGATCTATAAAATTGTAACTGAAACAACCTGTATGGAACTTGTGAAGAACAGAAAAACAAAAACAAAATGAAACACATAAACACAAATACAAATTTTAAACAATTACATTATTACAAGTGATTCTGAAAACAAAAACAACAGCACAAATAACTAAACTTGTATATCATTGATTAGGTTGTGGTAAAAGGTCTGAATACTTAAGCAGCCTCAACAAGTCTATCATCCATGTTTGCTGAGTTTGATTGTTTTTATATGTTTCAATCAACTGACGAGGAAGATAAAATAAATTTTGGCTGTAGTATTTTGCAAAGGTACTATAAGCACTAGTACTTTAAACCTGACAATCAATTCTTGAAAAGACAGCATCACCCCCTACATGGCAGATGATGAACCTCACTTTCTAATTTCAGTTGCTTCCATTTTAGTTAGGAAGTAATGAAGCAATGTCTCTTACTGCAGCTGAAAGAAATGAGACACTTTGAAAAAAAAATACAATGATAAAGTGCAAAATGCAGGAGATATATTTAACCATGACACTTCCTTGTCACTTTGCAGAAACATGAAAACTAGTCTGCTTTATTTCAAGGTTATTTTGCTGAGAATAATGGAGATGAAAATTGTAAAATCACATTTCCCTCAGTAGATAAATCCTGGTGAGAAGACCAAATTGTAGACAAATTACAATAATCTGTTATTAGTTTCACTTTGACAAACATCTAATATGAAGTTTCATTCATATATTTTCAATGGTCCATATTTTAATTTAAATAAAAAAAATTGTAAAACTGTAACTTCCTTACTCATGGAACTCCCCTGCTTATGGATGTACCATGTTAGGAGTTTAACATTGTACTTACTTGAGTTCTTTCTATGATTTCATGTATTTGTTGCCAATGTTTTTTGAAACTGTCATAGCAAGCAGTGGGATCACAATCTTTTGGTGGTGAGCTGGACGGCCTGCGTTTCCCGAAACTTGCCCTTAAAGGGCTGTTGCGCAGCCAACTCATATTTAGTTAACTACAAACTGTTCTACACATCCTGAAATAACCACAATGCACACATTAACAAAAGTTTGTGACAACATGAATTAACACAGCAAAGGATGTCAGCGTACAGTCTACTTCGCACCCATGCGAGGTTAGTGAAGTATTAATAATATATAAGACATTATTATAAGTTCTTAATTTCTAGAACTTTTTGCACTTCAGAATTGGCTACGCCTATAAGATGTACATTTATAGCCCTTATTGGAAGTATACAATACAGGTTCAGATGGAACTATATGCGTAAAATACAAATCGCTTACTGTTCCAACATATACAATTTATAACTCACGTACCTTTTGCAAAAATGTTCTAATTTCTTTCTCTGCCCCCTTTCCGTAATGTACACCCACTCCGCCATTACCACCGATGACATTTTAGTGTCCATAAATATATAAATAGTGACAAGACAATAAAAAAAGAGGATAATTATTAATATTTTAACAAAATGACATCAAAATATAGGTAAACCATTTTAATTATCCTCTTTATGGAAACGTTTATTAAATATCAGGACGTTATTTTGGGGTGTAGACTTTTTATTGTATACAACATGGCAGCAAAAGAGGTGTGTGCTTGGCAATTATATTTATGCATGTTAACATTTGTAATTAATACTATTTCAAACCATTACTGCAAAATTGTTTTTATTTGTTCTAAATACTAATACGGAAAATACTTGTGTTCATACTGTTAAAGTCATTGTAGCTAGAAGTAATGCGTTCTAACCTTACGTTTCAAGCTCAGTATTTAGTAAAACCAATTTGCTGATTTTCACAAGTAATATGCAGCATTAAAGGTTTCTCACACATGATTCACGCATTACAGAAATAGGAAAGTATGCCAACATTTTATATTCCATATGCATGACATGCATATATCATGGAAGATTGCTGCTTTTTAGGCTCATCATATAACTAACTGGATGGTCAGAGTGCTAGTAAACTATATAAAATTTGAATTTACAGATCTGATTTATTTATAGAGGTACCATCCTTTCAGCAAGTTTTCAAGTAGTGTGACATTTTTAAAATGTTTAAAATAAAAGCTTGTTAAACAGTTATAATACTTTTCAAAGTTAATTTTCTACAAGTAATGAAACCAATTATCGTTTGTTTCCTTTAGCATAACTTTGACAGTTTATTTCATTTATACACTAGAAATCTGTCTCAGTAGCTCAATTGAACATTTTAGCCAAAAAATGCCAGTGTATTGAGATATCTAATTAAATTTCTGCTATAAATTAGACAGATTGTATGAATGCAAATGGTCTCAACTTACTATGCACCTAATGTCACTGAAACTGTAGCTGATAATCAGATTGACATGTGTTATTTAGCTTGTTTTTTTTATTTAGAAATTTGAAGACCATCGACGTAAGTGGGACCGAGATGAATATGAACGTTTGGCTGCTGAGAGAATTCAAGAGGAATTGGATGCCCAGGAGAAAGCAAAGCAAAAACAGCCACCTGTAAAACGTGAATTGCTTCGCCAAAGGGATTACAGAGTAGATCTTGAGTCAAAACTTGGG